TTGATTAAACAATATGAAGTAAGACTTCTTTAGGCGCATGAGGGTAACATTTTTACGGGTGAAACGCAATAATAATAATATGAGCATCACGAAGATATGCAGCGTTTTTGTCGAAGAAAGGGAGAGAGCGATTGAGACTGATTGAGAGAGAGTGAGATTGCGCGAACGTCGCATCACGCACTGTGCCATGGGGCGAGAGGTGGGAGAGAGCTATAATGAGAAAGATTGAGAGAGAGAGAGTTAAGGAGATCGAGAAAAATAGACGCTATTATTTGATGTATTCGTTTAGTTACATATTAGAGCTTTAGATGGCAATTCTGTCGCATGTCTTGTGCAGTAAACGCAGAAGCAAAATAATGATGCAGACACCCAGGCCACTGATATCCCGAAGGCAGACCATTTAAATTTTTCGTATTTAATTTTTATACGTATTCATATTTTTCTATGTAATAGGAGGCAAACGGGCAGGAGGCTCATCTGATGTTAAGTGATACCACCGCTCATGGACACTAACATTACCAGAAGGCTCGCAAGTGCGTTGCGGGCCTTTCAAAAACTTGTACGCTCTTTTCTTAGCCTAAGTCGAATTGGCTTGGAAATACTTCAGTGGGCAGCTGGTTCCACATAGTGGTGCGTGGCAAAAACTGCCTTAAAAACGCTCAGTTGTGGAACGACGGACGTCGAGGAAGATATTTTGTAATCTGCCTTGACGTCCGATAGTGAAACTCAGCTGCAGGTATTAATCCAAACAACTCCTCTGAACACTCTCCATGGTAAATGCGGTAGAAGATGCAGAGAGACCCCACATCTCTACGCAACGCCAAGGGATCAAGCCGCACGGAAAGTGACTGGTTTGGAGTGGGTTTTTTTACAGATTTAAACACCTGTAACTCAAGAACACAGCAACATACGACCTTAATTCATTTAGGAAGTATATTGTATCCTATTGGTCCGAAATTTAATCCCTATCAATACGAAATACGAGCAAATATATACTTAAATACTCAGAAAATGAAAAGAAAAACTTTATTATACACAATACTTTATCCAAATACAGAATATTTAGGTAAAATAAAGTGCACTAGGATTCCCTGTTGTGTGGGAGCCAGTCTCTTCCTTTTGACATGTAAACAGTATTTTATTTAATGATTTCTACACATTTATATTTAAACAATTTTTGCACAATCAGAATATTTTCAGTATCAGAATAGGACAGGTTAACAAGATATTGTTTAAGATGTTTAGTAAATGTATGTAATGTGATTTTTGAAATGTTAGTGATTATTTTGTTTTTGAGGAAGTGGTTAAAGATGAAAGGGCCTCGGAAGTAGAAAAATCGTTGGGCGAAAAAAGTGCTATTTTTGGGTTGCTTATATATAGGTTTGCGTTTTGTTTGATGTGGTGCGCCGTGCGGGTGTTTGTTTCCAAAAAAGTCTGCATATTGCTATTAAGTATAATTGTCTCACAGTTAAAAGTTTTTATTTATTTATCTCCACATCATTATTCTATCTTTACAGTTATTACTAATTCGATAGAACGACACATTAATTATACCCACACCGATTAACCTACATAAAAAACATTAAAAAAATATATTTATAAACCTAAATCTTATAACTAATAATATAGGAAGCAACTCTTGTGAACTCAGCCAGTGTACAAACAAATAGGTCTACCTTAACAGAAATTCTATTTATTGTATGTATTGCTCGCGTGAGTGGTGCTTCGCTAACCAAGTTGTAATGTGCGCGCGGTAGGTACATCCAAAAGTTGAGACGCCTCAGATTTCTACTTGGTACCCGTAGACCAAGTCTCTCCATTATATCCAGATTATGAACCCGACCCGTAAGTATCTTTAATAGATATACTGACAAAGCTAGCTGTCTTCTGAGGCGTAACTGGTCATAACCCACCATACCCAGAACAAACAGGGTCGGGTACATAAGCGGATACAAAGGATACACTCCATACAGTCTCTTGCAGAGGTAACGGGTGAATTTATTTTGTACTCGCTCTAACATGAGACTGTATTTAGCCTCATATGGGGCCCACACCATTGCATTGCACTCCAAGTGACTTCTGACTAACGCATTGTATAAAATTTTAATTGCACTGATATCCCTTTTTGCATCTACGTGTTGCGCAAACCCAGGATTCGCGTTAAAATATACTCCCAGATCTTTAACTTCAGTTTTGTTTCATTGTACAATTATAAAGTTTAGTAGCGGGAAGGTTTCCTATAGGATATCTTAATGGCACGTTGGGTGCGCTCAATTTTCACTCTAGCCAGCACCCTAGCTATTATTCTTTCCCCAGTTATCGAACTCATGACATCCTGATAAACTATGAATAAAAAAACCAAATACAGTGGGATAAACTTTATTCAACGAATACTTAAAATAAATAAAACCATAAACCACGATAACAGCACAATTTTAAATACACTTAACAATGTTAATACATTACATCATAACTTAGTGATTTAATGAATGATACAGAGTCGTGTCTTAGCGTTTTGTATAACCAGCCTTGCGATTCTGTAACTCACTTTTCGAACACACACAGCGTGAGTAAACAATAAACTACAAGCTCCTTCCTTATCAGAATGCCAAATCATAAAATGACTGCTTCACGACTGATATGAGCGCGACCGCCGCTGCGAAAACCGCTGTGAGTTCGAAAAGTGAGTTACAGAATCGCAAGGCAGAACAGAAAAGTAATGATGTTTTAACTTTAAAAAGAGGGACCTATAGTGAATGAATTAAAATCAATTATAAACTTTTAGTTCTGGGCCTCAGATCTTTATCAGCCTTTACACACATTTGGGTCTAAGGCATTAAATTTTCACGTTTTCCTACACGGTACGGTGTTAAATGCGGACATAAAAAGTCCATTGGTGCACAGCCCGGGATCGAACCTACAACCTCAGGGATCAGATTCGCACCCAGAAGCCGCTGACCAACGCTGTGCCGTAAGTTGGTTCACAAATTACCCGGAAACAGCGTCATAACAAGTTGATCCCTTTATATATAAATCTCATGTATGTGTAAACTCCACCTTGGATTGATTGATGAAATAGTGTGTTCAAGTTCGAGAATGGTTTCGATTTACAGATCAGATATTTTTGTGTTTAAAACGTGTGTATTGGACCACGTCTGTCGGGTCCGCTAGTCATTTATATAAACTTAAATACCAGACCAGAATTCCATCAAAGTTCAGTTTTTCCATCCATCTTTCATCATTTATATTTCCTTTTTTGACAGGTCAACCAAGTCGGTTACATTTAAATTATGGCTGTCACAGTTCATGCTAATACTCGACCCTGAATCGTGAAATAATCTGTCAAATTAAATGCAAACAAGTGTTTATTAAATAATCTATATAAATAAAAATGAATCGCAAACCCCGAAGACGGCTGGATCAATTCGAGAATTTAATAAAAAAAAACCTTAAACTCTGAGGAAGGCTTTTATGGAGAGAAAAATTGCATGGAAATCTCTATAACATAGCAAAATGTTCCAGATGTTGGTATGTTAAAAAGTTAGGCTAAGTAACGCTAGCTGTCCACCTTTATACTTTACGATAGTTCCGTCATGTCATACGTCAAAACAATGACAGCTGACAGCTCGCGTTAATTAACCCCTGACGCCAAGTGTCAAAGTTTGACGTGTATCTGTGGTCTTAATCGACGTTTTTTGTTAATTTGTGTCTTAGCTATAATTTGTTGTTTAGCGACACAACGGACTTTTATTGCCTATTTGGATCATACGTTAGGACCACTAAGCTACTCTGATGATGAAGCTCGAAGGGGGATGCTCTAAATACGTCAGAGCTCAGAGAGAGAGAAATTTCTCATACAAAAATGTATCTTTACTATTTGATTTAATGTATTATTCGCGCTAAGGGTGTAGTCTTTATGAAGGCAATTTTTTTTAAATATCTAGGGCCCCAATACCTTTATTATAAATGATAAATACACGATAAGTTTATGAACTTTTCTATCGCCATCTTACTTACTTCGAATAATAAATAAACGATATTTCCATTATTATACAATAAAAGAGGTGTCAATAGATTTTTTAAAACAAGGCATACTTGTATTAAAAATCCTTTCGGAAAAAATGCTAACAGCGCCATCTATCGTCTTATTTCAGCAAAAATTTTCAACTCAAATGTCTAAACACAAGTATTTCTATCTTCGACTGCGGTGAACACATTATTCTATATAAAGTTTGACAATTTTAACTATACTCAGGAATATTGACTATATATTATGTACATGTATATTTCAACATAAAAGAAAGAAAACCGTAATTTTTATACGATTTTAAAACAACTGCCTAATACCAGCGCCATCTATTATTAAAACTAGACAACTTCAATCCTTGAATTAGCGCTATCTACCGTCAACCTTTGGTACTATTCTTTTAAATTCCACATAAATTCTTACAGAACCAAATATCATAGCTAACATAATCGTTCAAGATAATTCATTTAAATAACGCCATATAATATTGGCATACACACCTTTAAATATCAAATATTGCTAACAATACAATCGTACGTTTAACAAATAAACAATAATTTTCAACATAACAATTACGTGTGGCTTCATCTTGGCTTAAACTTGCTATTAATTTTAACAAAAACCAGCCACAGCGTCATCTATCGTTAAAACTTGACAATAAATTAATCAAATAAAATTTTGAATAGCGCCACCTATGCTCAACAAATGTTACTTTTACAATTCAAAACTGAATCTTCATAGCATCATCTATGGTTAACACTTGACAATAAATTGGTCAAAAACAATTTTGAATAGCGCCATCTATCCTCAACCATTCGTTCTTTTATAACTTAACAAAGTTGAATACAATACGTCATATTATATCGTTGTATCGTGACAATAAATAGATGAAATAAAAATTTGAATAGCGCCACCTATGCTCAACCATTGGTACTTTTACAACTTAACAAAAACAGAATGCTCACAGCGCCATCTACCGCTGGTACTTGTTCAACTTCTCGCAACTTGGCATACGCATTCGCTGCGCCTCTGCGTACTGACCGCTGTCGCCAAAGTTGCGCGCTTTCCATGCCAGACTGTCCCGATAGTTGCGCTCGCGCTGACACGCGTGTCGTAGGTTCACTGTGGGAAAAAATTCAATGTGTAATTTGTTATTGATTATAACGCGTTCGAAAATAATTTTACACAAAACTAGCGGACCCGAGAGACGATGTAGGAATTTAATTGTCATTAAAATATTAAAACTTAAAAGTGTCGAAAATTAATACATTTTTTTATTTTTTATTTGTTTCTTCAATAATAAAACACGTGGCATTTTAATTTACCATTCGTTATTTGAGATTTCAATAAATTATTTTGCATAAAATATAAAATACTAATATTTCATAAATTCTATTTTAAAAATAGAATTAATATAATAAGGTAATTCGCCCTTCTCACTCTCTCTCAATCGGTCTCGATCGCTCTCTCCCTTTTCTTCGACAAAAACGCTGCACATCTTCGTGACGTTCCGTAAAAATTTTACCGTCATGCGCCTAAAGAAGTTTCACTTCAAAAATACTTTTAATTTTTATTTTTACCAACACATTAATGTTATACTAGCACACTGTGGAATCGACTCCTGCAAGTCTTCCCTGGGAGATTCGACCTCCAATTATTATGTAAGACCTTATTCTTCTCTCACCACCTCAGCAGCCACTGAAACGAGTGTCCATGTCTATAGGCTACGGTACTGACTTAAGGAGCGTTCAAGTATTACGTCACCCATTTTTGGAGACTATTGACACCCCCCAATGTAACGCGCAATAACGTTTTTCTGTACCCAAGTATAGTAAGACCACCTAGTGACTCTTTGTACCTAAAAGTTACCATTATGTGGTGTAAAGTACTGGAAAGCCGAAAATAATATTAACAATAACGCGTAATTAAATCCCCACCCCGCATCGTAACGTTTTACAAAAGGACCCCCCCCCCAACTTTCGTTACGTAATAATTGAACGCTCCCTTATGGCTGTCCTGAAGCCTCGTTGGCCCTCATTTTATAACAAAATTGTTGACTAATTCTCAGAAACTAAAAGTAACAAATGGCTCATTACTCGAAAATAAAAATGTATATTAAAAAACAATATTCATACCAATATATTCCTCTTCTATCGCCATTTCAAGTCTCCGTAGCGACCCTTGGTAGTCTGTATGGAAGTTGTCTTTGACGTAGTATGGTACCTGAAAAATAAGAAAAATTATAAACGGTTAGGGGCCGTTCAAGTATAACGTATTGGTATGTTTTTTTTATTTATGGCTCTGGCACGATTTGTGCATTAGCCAGCGTCAAGTATAGGATTTTTATGATTCGTTCTTGTCTTTTAGAAATTCGACAGCGTCCTCTATGTACGGTTTAAGCACTCGCCCGGTACCGCACAACCCTCCCAAAGGCCGAGAACAAATTTAAATTAAAACTTGCCCTCGAACCGGGAATCGAACCCGGTACCTCTCACCTAGCCGCCACTTAATAAGACCGCTAGGCTATGAGGCCACCTATTGGTATGTTATCTAAAGCTGGCGGCTTCAACACATTTACACTTTGTGCATGTGTAGTGTCTGTGAATAAGCGCGAGGTGTGATGTCAAACTGAAATACAATCACAAATACATCATGAAAAGACAGTCCGTCTCTCTCGCGGTCGGTCAAGTTTATGAGTATAAAAGAGACAGTTATTGTTTTGCTTTTGCTACTGTTTATGTTGATCTTTACTGTACATGTTGATCTTTTTTCAAACATTAACAGGACAATCTCGTGAAATGGTGCACAATGTTTTTAATTATTTTAAGCATCTTAATCTGTCGAAAAATTAAAAATTATTTACACAAACTACTCTTTTACGTTCTTGGTCAGGCTTAGAACTTTTGGATGCACCCTCGTATGCACATAATATTTATATGTATTTGACACATTTTTATTTATTTACAACCCACCCAACCTTACTTAAACCAGAGTAGACTAAAATATATAGCTTGGCAAAAAAGTCATATTTTTAAACATACTGTATAGTGAAATTGCATTAGTGTAAGTACTGTGAACGCGCCAGCTTTCGATAACCGACCTATAAGCTGATTTACTGCAACCACCCTCCATCTCCTTGTCAGCAAAAATAAGCAAAGCTTTCAAAAATAATAGAACATAATTTTTTGTAGGAATCCTCGAAAATGCATTTCGTTTTCAAGCATAGACAATGTGTGGGTAATATGTGTAAAAATAATGGTTTAAAAAAACTAAAAAACACGCATTTAATACACGATAGACGAAAAATATGGCACAGAGCGCCCCACGCTTTTTCACAATAATACCAGTATTTTTTGTTCATTACCATTTTCAGCCTAAATTAGGAATTATTTTTCACTTTTTAGTTTGATGTGCTTTAAAAGCGTGTTTTTAGTTTTTTAAACTATTATTTATTTATTATTTTTTAGTTATTTTTTTTTTATTTTTTTCATTTTTTTTCGGATTATTGCATTGTCATCGATCTTTGACAGGTGCGCAAAGTTTGAATTAAATCTGTCCGTTAAAAGTGGGTCAAAATCGAGTCCGAAGGAGTCGGTTACATACATACATACAGGTGAAGCTAATATAAAGCGTGTAAAAAAGTAAATACTAACTGTTGACGTCATCACCGAATATGAAAATCAAAGACAAACCTCTTTAGGTCTTGGCCCTATATGTCTGAATCTGTTTCATGATCATTTTTAAATCTAATAGGCAAGTAGGTGATCAGCCTCCAGTGCCTGACACACACCGTCGACTGTTTGGGTCTAAGACATGTCGGTTTCCTCACGATGTTTTCCTTCACCGTTCGAGCAAATGTTAAAGGCGCACTTAGAAAGTCTATTGGTGCACAGCTGGGGATCGAATAAATGGAATAAAAAACAGGCCATTTGTGTTTTACATTTAAAAAATCAATATTTGTTTGTAGGACAATAGAAATATCGGAATGATTTGTAATCTACTAAACTTCTATGAGTGTTCAAAATGAAAGAAAATAAAAAAAAAACACATTTTTCATTTACCACAACCAATAATTAATCTTTTTTTTAAATTTCATTTAAGAATTGTTGAGCATATCAAATCATACCTTCAGATTAACAGTCTCCCTCGGTACTGGATACTTGGAGCTCGGGGTGAGGCTGTACACCGGCTCGCTGATGAAAAAGCCTGACATCATGGAGAGGAGGACCAGAACGACTATCGGAAGGAGTTGGACTATGCCCCCGTGGTTCTCCCTTTGTTCTGGTTCACGACGGCGACGGTATACTGTTGGGCCGCCCGCTGAGAATGCTGAAACCAATAAAAATTATATAATACTAGCTAACCCGGCAAACGTCGTTTTGCTAGGAAAAAATGTTTCTAATGAAATTTTTTTTTACTTCAATAAAAATAACTATCTACTGTGATAAAAATAGGGGGTTGATCGTAGAGGGCTGAAAAGTAGGGGTTGTATGTATGCTGTATCATGAAAAAATAAAAATATTTTTTTTTTGGAGTGGACACCCCTTATCCCTTAGGGGTTTGAAAGATAGATAGTAGCCGATTCTCAGACTTACTGAAAATGCATAAAAAATTTCATGAGAATCGGTCAAGCCGTTTCGGAGGAGTTTAACTACAAACACCGCGACACGAGAATTTTATATATTAGATTTATAGAGATAAATTGTTGATAAACAGATATTGCCGCTCATCGGGCGAGAACTCGTCAACATGCCGTTGTCAACTCTGCAACATGTTGATTCAACATTGTTGCTAAATAAATGTTTACCATGAATACCAGGATTTAGGATCAACTCATTTGTATTATGTAAACGCGCGACATTTTCTACTATTTAGCTTGTGCTGTGCAATCATAATAAGATCGGTATAGAGAAGAAACAAAGAAAAAACTTTCTTACACATAATAAAAAAGTATGTATAGTCAAAAGTTATAGTTTTGACGTAAATCCAGACGTCAGACTTAGCAAGTTTGACAAGAGCAATATCATTCATATTGTCAATTGTCACAATTAAATATAAACATGGCTTGTCAATTGTCATAGATCTGTCTGCCCGATTGAACTGATTAGTTTTAAGTAGCTATACTAATGTACATTCAAATCATAAAGAATCATAGAGAATAAACATAGCATACCAGTATGTCCAAAGAACATGTTAAACAACTCTTCAGCGGTGAGATCAGATTCAAAGCCCCTCGCATAATATTGGTGATGGGTGTGCTGTGTATGAACTGGAGCTTCATCAGCACGGAGATCATATTGTTTGCGCTTCTCTGGGTCTGTTAGTACTCCAGCTGCATTCCCAATAGCCTGGAAAAGATATATTATATATATATGTAATGGAATGATATTTCATTAATTTGAATTTGACGCGTCGGAGTGACACGCGATAAAATGGCGGATGACGTGTAGATAAATTTAGTGGATTGTATTGTAAAAAGATAGATTTAAGGATAAGTGAACATTAAATGTCGTTTCTTTGTATTTCAGGTAAGAATAATTAATAATTACAACAGAATCTGAAGAAGATGAAATATAAGGAAACGAATATGAAGATAGCTATTAAGTATAGTGTGTAGATATATTATTCAGAATTTTTTCTCTTAGGGGGGGAGATGTAATGGAATTATATTTCATTCATTAGAAATTTGACGCGTCGGAGTGAAACGCGATAAAATGGCGGATGACGTGTAGATAAATTTAGTGGATTGTATTGTAAAAAGATAGATGTAAGGATAAGTGAACATTAAATGTCGTTTCTTTGTATTTCAGGTAAGAATAATTAATAATTACAACAGAATCTGAAGAAGATGAAATATAAGGAAACGAATATGAAGATAGCTATTAAGTATAGTGTGTAGATATATTATTCAGAATTTTTTCTCTTAGGGGGGGAGATGTAATGGAATGATATTTCATTCATTAGAAATTTGACGCGTCGGAGTGACACGCGATAAAATGGCGGATGACGTGTAGATAAATTTAGTGGATTGTATTGTAAAAAGATAGATTTAAGGATAAGTGAACATTAAATGTCGTTTCTTTGTATTTCAGGTAAGAATAATTATTATAGTTAGACCATAAGTGCATTATATTATAAAATGTGATGAATAAAATAAAAACTTTGTATTTCAGAGAAACAATTTTGTGTTTCATTTTGAAAAAATCCTTAATAATATTCCTATATATATATATATATATATTAAACATTTTTGAAGTTATACTTCTTTAGGCGCGTTATGAAAAATTGATGATAGTGAAATTTTACGATGCGCACCGTGACACAAAATTAACCGAATGAAGTTAGTGGCGCATGTTGGCACGCACGCCGCCTGTGTTCACTGTGTATTTATATTTATAATATTTATCCACATGCTTTGAGTTTCTACATTTAAAACACGTGTTTTCATTTTGTTTTCATTATACAAGTGCGAATTTTATACGTGCGTCTGAATTATAATCAGAAGTGATTTAAATGGAATATTTAAATCAATACTAATTATGTAATATTAGAAAATAATAATAAATATAATATTAATAAATATTTATTTATTTAATTTTTCAAATGTAAACTGAACTTTTTTGACTATAATGACTGTTTTTCAGTCTTTGATTATTTAATTGTAATTAATTATTTGCATGCAATCAAAAACTATTTTTAATAATGCCAAAGAAGTATAACTTCTTACGCGCGTACATAAGTACACGCACCCTTTTTTTGTAATACAGGAGATAAATATGAATCTAACAAAAAGCTACAAGAACACAGCTACTACCACTAAGTCTTCAGATTTCTGTATCTGTTTCATGATACACCCTGAATGTTATTGCATGTGAGATGGATATATTTAGTTGCACACTGGCTGAATTCATAAGGAAAAGAATAAACGGTTCAAATATAAGTCTTGCCTATAATATCGATTTTGTTCCCTTTGAAGTAGATGCTCTTGGGCCGTGGGGTTCAAGTGCACAGGCGCTAATTAAAGATTTAAGTTGACGCCTGGTAGCTAGTATTGGTGACCCCAGAGGTGGTGCTTTCTTCACTCAAAAAATAGGTGTCGCAATACAGCGAGGAAATACTTCCAGCGTTAAATATACACTACCACAGGGACCACACTTTTTAAATTTGCTTTTTTTCTTTTGATTAATTTTCAATTATTTTATTATTTCTATGTAGGTTAAGAAAATTTTAAATACTGTATACTTGATTGTTATGATTAATCTATAATATAAAAATGAATCGCGGAATGTGTTGCTAAGCGCAAATCTCGAGAACAGCAGAACCGATTTTGCTAATTATTTTTTTATAATATTCCTTGAAGTACGAGGATGGTTCTTACGGAGAGAAAAATTAAAAAATTTTAGTGAATAAGTCTAAAAACAACACTTTTCTATATTCCCATACAAAAGTTTCGTAATAATCCTTAAAAGTCAATTTGAACTTTAATACTATACCATAAAGTTCAAGTGTTAGTGGAGGGGTTCCGGGAAGGTAAATTTTTATTTTTAATTTTTTTATCTTACTAGCTAGACCGGTGTCCCGAATAGCAGAATAAGTATTTAAAAAAATAAAGAATCGACTGTTAAGCGGTACGATGTTCGCCAGGCCAGCTAGTGTTATATATAAGTTATTAATGTATAAGTATTAAGTTACTGCTAAAAGTAGAAAATAAATAAATAAATGATAAAAACATGTTCATACATTAATAGACAAGTATGTAGTTTATTAATAGGTTTTCTGTGCCTGATACAAGCCGTGGATTATTAAGTCTATGTCATTATGGTTTCACTATGTTTTCCATCATCGTTCAGCGAGCATTCACACATAGAAAAGTACACAGTAGTCTTCCAAAAGCATGTCCCCAGGTTTAAGCACACTTATGTCAACATGATTCCTGAATAGATATTATAGAATAATATTTATAGGCTATTTACCGGTATGAAAAATAAAGTGTTATTGAAAGTACTCTTTATAAAACATGGTTTGAAAAAACTTTCTAGAGTATAACTTAGATCATTAATTGATCAAAAAATCCATTATTTTTACATGTTTATCACGTAAAAAGTAAGGTCAGCATTAGTTGAAATAACAATGTCATAACATGCTCGTATATAGTATCTTCACCTATCTAATCCTAGTACAGATTTGCCTTTTCTTGATAATAGCCTATTCATGTTGTAACTAACTTATTAATACAGAGTCTAACAACTTGTATTTATGAGAAACTAATCAGGCATTATTTTAAAGTGAATATGCTAATTCCTCACTTTCTACAACTAGTACTACACTGAATACATAACATTACACTATACACATTTTATTATTATTATAGCTTTATTTATTCCAAACTCATTAAGGTACAAAAAAGAAGTAAGAATATTTTATATGTTAGTAATATGTAGTAATCTTAGTCTATGTTAGTATGTGTAACATTAGTATATTCAAAGTTTGGATCCCATCTGGGTAAAAGCCTCCTCCATTTTTTTCCATTTTATTCTATTTGTAGCTGTAGTAATCCAGTTTCCGCCTGCTACTTTGACTATGTCATCCACCCACCTTTTTTTGGGTCGACCTATGTTTTTTGGGTGGACCAGTCCATTTTGTAGTTTGTACAGTCCATCTTTTGTCGATGTATCGAGAGATATGTCCTGCCCATTGCCATTTCATTCTTAAGGCGTGCCTAAGAGCATCAGTTAATTTAGTTTGTTGGAGTATGTTTTTGTTCTTTATCTTTTGTATCTTCTTAATTTTCAGTATGCTCCTTTCCATAGCATGTTGTGTCGTAAGCAATCTGTTTCTCACTTTGTTAGATACACTATACTGACACACTATACACATATAACAACATTATTATGAAGCCATTTCTATAGAATTAAAGGCTTAAGAAGAGTATTTTTAAATGCAATCAATAACAGTTTGCAGTGGGCAATGCATTTACGTATGTCGCACTATGTGAAAATGGTACCTATCTTCTCATGACTAGACATTTATTTTTTAAAATAAATATAGCCCATATTATTCTGCACTAAAGTAACATCTAATGGTGAAATAGTTTTTGGAAGCAGTAGTTTGGTCATTTTTATGATAAAATTCAAGTAGTGTATATAAGTGTCTCTGCCCCTAAAACCCATTGGTTATGGTGTTACAAACAATAACTAAAATACAAACCTTGAATGCCTCAGCGGCTCCTGGTGCATGATTCTTATCCGGATGAAGTTGGAGCGCCAACTTCTTGTAAGCTTTCTTGATGTCAGAATCTGTAGCTTCTTTTGTTACACCTGTAAAAATACAATTACAGCAAAATTTATTAAATTGACAAGAATAGAAAATATTTATTTCGATTATCATAGACAATGTAATAAAGAGTAATTAATATATTTTGGGATAAACAAATGAAAGGTAGGTAAACTATGCTAAATATCTCTTATATATTATGGGATAGTCAACCTTCTAAGATTTGGTACTCAGTTAAGTTGTATTTATCAAGAAATATGTTGATATGGCAGCTGCTTTTAAAGAGTGACTTAATTGTGGGCAGATCAAGGATGATAAAATGTTTGATTGTGTTGAATTAAGTATAATTTATTATGCCATTTACGCAAAAACAATAGTGTTCAAATAACTTACCAAACCTGTCAACGGCCTTATTAATATAATTATTAGTAAACAGCTCTTTGAAATATATCTGCGTAAATTATATCAAGGTCATCACTACAATACTATAATATACATACTTAGAATTTCGTAATAATCCTTGCATTTGGTATTGATTCTTTTTACCGCGTCCAGTTGATCAGCAGTGTATTCCCTCTTTTCAGGTTGATGTGCTGCAGGCTTACGTCGCCTAACATCATCACTAGGGCTGCTGGGAGGCGTTCGCTTCGAGGTCCCGGTGGGTATTGCAGCTCTAACCACGGTCAGGAGGTCCTTAGCTCTTGCTGTAGGATAAAGACGTTCAGCCTTCACTAAAAAACGCTCGGCCTTCTCATAATTCCCAGCAGTGAAGGCACTTTGCGCAATTTCTATGCAGCGCTCAGCTTCATCCTTGTTTCCTTCAATCGTCATTTTTCACGTCAACAACAATAAAGATTAATTCCCCAACAAGCCAAGACAGTATTTGGATTAATAAATTGTAGGAAATAGGAATTTCATATAGTTACGATTAATTACTATTTCCTCTAATTTACGTCAGATATGAAAAATACACAGATTGAAAACTAATTTTCTAAAGTTAAAGTTTCGACTTTCGGCTGTGTTGGCAATTGACAGATTCACAATCACACTAAAAAACTCAGAATTACAAATAATAAACGTATATTAGATATAATAGATTTCCTATTTTCAGTAACCTTAAAACCAAATTAATAATTAGATAAAAATAATTTGCAATAAAATTGCATTTATTCTGTAAGTAGTATATTTCTCTATTGTTAGTTGTTACTTCATAATCTGTCAGTTTTGTCATTTTCACGTCATATGACGTATGACGTGAGTATGACGCATTCTAAATTCCTATTTCTTTGCCATTTTGTAGTCTAATGTTTATTAGAATTAAACGCTATTCTAAGAAAATCTTTATTTAACTTAGTTATATCACGGTCCACAATAAAGGTGTGACTTTAAACAGTTGTAAGAGACATCGTTTTATTATTTCCTTTTTATTCAACGTTAAATAAAGTGTAGAAATGTCTGTTCCGCCAATTTACAATCCGGTAAGTAAAATGCGTTTTATTCTTATTTATTGCAATGGAGCCTTTAGAAAAACGTTTCAGAAACATCTTTTGTCATTTTCAAGGCTTTTCAACTAGATACCGGCGGCTTTTGTAATTTATTTGCTATGTAAATACTCTTTGATAACGTAATACTACTTATCACCATCATTTAGGGAAAATTATTCGTGAAGGATATCAGTATATTGCTAAATATTTTTCTTTTATGTTTGTCACAGCATGGGCATAATTTATAGGCATGATAGTATATATGTATATTATCTTTAGGAAATTAAACAGGTGTTCAGGGCCTATATCACTTTAATCAATAATCTTTTTATTATTAATTTGAATTCTTGTCAATTGTAATTATGTCTTTATTCCTATAGTATATAGGTGTATTTTACAATGGCAAAAATTTAAAAGTAAAAGTATGATTCAGTAATCTATACCACAAAGTCATAGAGAAAAATTTAAATGAATTAAAGCAATATAGCTTTTACTCAATTACTGTTATTATTATATTAGCATCTAAATAGGTCCTAAAAATGTCTAAATAAACTAGATTTGTAAAAATGAAGTTAACTTAAGATTCCTTTAGGACAGTGCTAGTTATTTGGAGTTGTCTATAAGTACTGGCCTCTATTTTGTCTAAAAGTAAGGTACAAGAAAAATAAAAAAGGATGTATGACAAGATATGTAGCCAATGTGTAAACAATAATTAAAAAAATATTAACAATAATCATCATCAAATATAAGGTATATCAGGTATTTTTAAATAAGTCTAAATTATACAATTAATGACTAATGCATTATTAATTATTTAATGTATTAAACTGTATTCCCAGCTGGTTCATGAGAGTTTTACTGCGTTTGAACTAGAATTTTTGGAGAGTTTAATTCATTAGGGTAGCACTAATAAATTACACTGCTAGGAGTGAATAAATTACATTGTGCAAAGCCAGTCAATAGCAATTATTATTTCTCGACCCATCAATTGTTTAAATATAAACAAGTTATCTTTTTTCAAGTCTAATAATAACTAATTTTAAAAACATAATTATCTTGTATGGTGTGACATCATTATTAAAGAATAAATTTAAAGGTCAATTTCATTTAAATGATACGTCATCATATGATTCACCTGGCAAAGTATATAAGTAACATTTTCAAACTGAAATTAAGTAAAACTGATATAGCTATTAAATAAATATGTTATTTGAGACTAAACTGTCTATAATACAATAAGAAATTGCTTTTACATAGTTTTTACTTATATTCTTTGACTGTTAGATATCTCCAATGTGATTAATAACATTTTGTTGCAGGTAATACCATGTGTGCATACAATTCCCGGGGGTATGTACCCAGGCCGTATGATCCGCTTTCAAGGAACTGTTCCTCCTGGTGCCCAAAGGTAGATTAAACATTCTTCAACATTCCTGTTTAGTTAATACACATATCAAATAGTTAGTCTTTTGATTAGGAACTCTCAAAATGTATGATATTGTCTATATATCTATTAACAGTGAGCATTATATGACATGGACTTGGACATCTTCTTATTGGACAAAATTGTTTGTATAATTTATGTGAATGTATCTTGGTTACAAATCTTAAATTGCTATTTTGAATCTAAGAATACTGATGTTGGATATAATTTTGTTTTTTCCGCCCATGGCGCGGGCTATAGTCTTTCGCCATACCGCCTTGTTGGGTATAAAGAAGTGCCCACAGATAATGTTAATACCTTATAGACAAAAAAAATATTTCGTTGCCAGAACGGAATTTTGTTCCGTCCGATATTTTACAAAGATATTCCGGGTGCTTTTATTTTAAGCCCTTTAAATTTCTAACAGATATCGAAAATGGCGCGTAGTTGGCAACAGCGTACGCGATGTATCACGTGTATAAATAGGCTATAAGACAGTATGGAAAATAACGTGTTATTGAGAGTGTACATTACACGGCTATAGAGTAAAATAACTAGTAAATAATCAATTATTTATGAAAACGTCCATAGATAAAATATTGATTTTTTTACGTCAGTCACGTGACACGAAATGGTCACAGATTAGTAGAATCGACGGTGACGTGGCATGCCTAACATCGTCGGAGACTGAATTTAATCTAAATATAATCTACATATATGTGTAATTTAAGAATGATATCGTAAAAAAACTTGACACGTTTTTGTCTAGAGAAGGGCGTTGGAAGGTTCTTGAAATTATGATTTTTAAAGCCAGTAATTGAAAAATAAACAAATCAGTAGCGCTACAACCTTTTTAGGTCTGGGCCTCAGATTTCTGTATTAGTTTCATGATAATTTCGCACGCCGTCGACTTTTTCGGTCTAAGGCAAGCCGTTTTCCTCACGATGTTTTCCTTCACCGAGCGAATGTTAAATGCGCACATAGAAAGTCCATTGGTGCACAGCCGGGGATCGATACCACAGCAGGGATGAGAGTCGCACGCTGAAGACACTGCCGGTCAAAGTTAACTTAACAAAATTTAATCTTCAATAATTTGTGTAGGTCACAAATGTCAAATGAGGGATCGTTCAAGTATTACGTCATGCAATTTTTCGAGATTATTGACCCTCCCCCCATGTAACGCGCCGTAACGATTTTATGTACCCAAGTACGGTACTGTACCCAAGTATAGTAAAATGTTTCGTGACTACCTAGTGACTCTTTATAGCTAAAAGTTACCATTATGTGGTGTAAAGTACTGGAAATTCGAAAATAATATTAACAATAACGCGTAATTCAATCCCCGCCCCGTATCGTAACGTTTTACAAAAGGAACAAAAAAATTCGTTTCGTAATACTTGAACGTTCCCTAGTACAAAGAACTTGTTTACCCATAGAGCGAACATCAGTACAGCATACACACAATTCGCTTACTCTTTTCCAGGTTTGCGATAAACTTCCAATGTGGTCCCAACACCGATCCCCGTGATGATATAGCACTTCATCTCAACTTTCGCTTCATTGAGATGTGTATAGTGAGGAACCACTTGACTGCGATGAACTGGGGAATGGAGGAGACCAGTGGCGGTATGCCCCTTGTGAGAGGGGAATCCTTTGAGGCCCTGATACTCTGTGAACCTCAGTCATTGAAGGTGTGTATATATAACTTGGAGTGCACAGGTGTGCCATATGAAGCTAAATAGTCTCATGAGGGATTAAACAATATATTCACCCATTACAAGAGACTGTATGGAGTGTATACTCTGTATCCCGACCCTATTTGTTTTGGGTTTTTTTTAACAGGGGGCAAACGGGCAGGAGGGTCATCTGATCTTAAATGATATCCCGGGGTAGAATTCTGGAGCCCCTGGTCCCAAATTATTTTCCAAATAAAATTAACAATTTTTTTCATTTGTTTTTCAATCAATTATTTATTGTGAAACCAAGTAGATTAGTATTTAATAGAGATGTTATGGATACGATATTTCGGATCTGGATACGGATATGGATATAGGAATAAAATTATATCGGTAACGGATATGTAATTATTTCGGATTATCCGTTAGTTTCGGATAGTTTCCGTTACGGTTATTAGATTGATGTAAAATATAAAACTTTGATTGAAGTAAATTATCCTCCTCAGTTTTATCTATAAAAAAAATGCAGTAAATTTAAGAGCTCGAAAAAAAATTTAGCTTTATACATTGCACATATTAATTAATAACCTATGTATAACATATTAAATGTTTTATTTTTAATTATTTTTGTGAGTAATGAAACCATAAACAAAAACCTGTCGAAACATGTCATTTTATTTCGATTTTAGACTCCGCCCTTATACGAAACTATCCGAATGTTCTGAAACCGATACGGTTACGGATACATATTTATTTCGGATATCCGATTGTTTCGGTTACGGAGCTCCATAACATCCCTGGTATTTAACAAACATGTAAAAATATATAATAAATTGTGCGTGTACTAGGTGTACACACGTAAGAAGTGAAACTTCTTTATGATCTTATTTTTCGAAAAATATTCTACTATATGCAACTTTACAGAAATTCATTAAATTAGATAAAGTTTAACAAAAGGCTTTTATTATCATAGACTTGAATACAAATATTTCATTTTACCTTATTACTACGAAGATTATTATAGAATTTCATTAATTGCAATAGAATTATTACTATCATTGAAAAACGTGACGATTTGCTACAAAATTTCTCCCATACGTCGATAAAGAAGTTTCATTCCAACGCCGATAAAGAAGTTTGACTTCAAAAAGCAACATGGCGCGTAACCGAAAAATGTGACGCGTAACGAAAAAATGTTACACTAAATTTTTTCCAACCTCGATAAAGAAGTTTCACTTCAAAAATAAAAGTTTACTAGTGAATAAATCTAGTATGGGGGCCTCTCTTGTGGATGCTCCGGGGCTGCAGCCACGGTTGTTATCAAAAAGCAAGTGCGTTTCCAGCCTTTGAGTAAAAAAGAATCGGTACGCTCTTTTCTTGAAGGACCCTAAGTCGAATAGGTTCGGAAATACTTCAGTGGGCAGCTGGTTCCACATAGTGGTGGTGCGCGGCAAAAACTGCCTTAAGAGAATTATAGAACGACGGACGTCGAGGTGATACGGTTGGAATTTCGTATTCTGCCTCGACGTTTAGTTATAAGATATATTTACAATTATTATTTTAAGTAAGATTTGGCTGAAGTTCCACCCCATCGTTGTCGATATCGCCAGATGCCGCACTGCAAGATTTAGTTCGTCGTTTTTCGTAAAAACAGCAAAGGGAGCGTTCAAGTGTTACGTAACGAATTTTGGGGGGGGGTCCTTTTGTAAAACGTTACGATGCGGGGCAGGGATTGAATTACGCGTTATTGTTACCATTATTTTTGACTTTCCAGTACTTTACACCACATAATGGTAATTTTTAGGTATAGGTATAAAGAGTCACTAGGTGGTCACGAAACGTTTTACTATTGGGTACAGAAAAACGTTACGGCGCGGTACATGGGGGGTCAAAAATCTCCAAAAATTGTGTGACGTAATACTTGAACGCTCCCAAAGGAGTCGAACTTCCATCCTTCCCTTTCCATCTTCCCTAAACAGTATAATATGGGTTCATTTTAACAGGCATCGCCTGGACAGTCCCTCCAATGGGCTACTTAACATCAGGTGGAATTCTGGCCACGTTACACGGTACACGCGTTAGAAGTTATACTTCTTTGGCGTAACAAGATAAAAATGTTTTCAAAAATTTTATTCTACGTTTGTAGAAAAAACGAGACTAAAAATAGAAAAAGGTATTTAATTTGAAAGTTTTATTATAACGCATTATCTAGTTAAAGTTTATTTAAATATCACAAAAAAATTATTTCTACATAATTAAAGAAATGGTAATTTTTTATATAATAAGATATTTACTATTTAATTCACGACTATTAGTTGAAGTTCAGTAGACATGTGAGTTACAAGAGGTTTATGATAGCTAAAGTATGATACAAATATTTTTGTAGAAACATTTTCTGAATATAGTACAAATACAGCATCAATAGTTGTATAAAAAAATATGTTGACTATAGCTAACTTCAGGGTGTCGGATTTTTGTGACGGTATCCGCGCGCGTCGTAAAAATTTACTAGTATCATTTTTCCTTATTGCGCCAAAAGAAGTATAACTTCAAAAATACACACGTATCCTTTGCTTTGGGTAAATTGTATTATTTTGGTGATTCCAGGTGGCAATCAATGGTGTTCACTTTTGCGAGTTCCCGCACCGTACACCGTTCCAACGTATATCGCATTTAACTATTGACGGTGACGTCATGGTCAATTTTATCGGATTCGAGGGCGCGCAGCCGCCTACCCAGATGTATATGGTAAGGATAATTAATTAGGAATAATAAAAGAAATAAAGAAAAGTTAATTTGCTCTCAACTCAATGGAAAAAATCAATTTTTTTTTATTTTATATCTTTATATATATAATTCTTCTGTGAGTGTGTATGTCACTGAACTTCTCTCAAACGACTGGACCGATTTTGATGAAATTTTTTGTGTGTGTTCAAGGGGATCTGGGAATGGTTTAGATTCACAAATCAGCCCGGCAGATGGCACTGCAGTCGGTACTTTCGTACTTTGCTTAATATCCTAATCGCTTTAAATATCATGCAGGACAACGTCTGTGGGGTCCACTAGTTTACTATAATATACTTTTACACACAAATCTTCAAGACTTCATTACTGACACCGTTAAGTTTTACTATTATTATTATTATTACATTCTTTTTCTCTTTTTGCGTGGGCACAAGCTAACTATTGTGGTCTCTGGCAGAATGAACAGCGCTGTGGAACAGTCTGCTCCTCAGCATAATGCTGAGCCAGGGCTAGTTTCAATCATTTGAGAACTGGCAGTAAATGTAAAATTAGAAGCATTTAATGTATATTTCTTTTTTGACGTTCATATGTGTACATTGTGTTACCTACATGAATAAATGATTTTTGACTGACTTTGACACACATTGCACACTTAAAAATGTATCTTTAAAAAAAATCTCTTTTATGATTATCATTATTATTATTTAGTGTGTTTCTGTGTCTGTTTCCTTAGTAATAAATGTTATGTGTATGTCTATGATATATACACATGTACACATGTCCGAAAACCTTGTAAAGAACTTGGTCTGTTACCTAAGTTTGGATTCAAATTAAAATAAAAATTAAATTTTTACTTTATCATACTCTGATATTGAAATATTGTAACGAAAAATTCATATAATCTTCCAGTCTGAACCACCGGCATATGGGGCATATGGAGCTCCGCCCCCCGCCTACGGAGCCCCGGGGTATGGTGGTCCTCAAGGTAAGTTGACTGAGCTCCAGTGGGATTGTAAAACGAAACTCTCCATTGGTCATCAGCGCGTAATGAAGGCGCCCAAAGTAATCGAAAATTGTCAACGGGCGACATGTTGTGTCATACGCTTTAACATAATACGTCGTACTCGATGATATAGTACGTCGTACGCGTTGACATGATACGTCATATTTCGTCCGATTGACCAATCACGGAACGATTTCGTTTTACGTTTCACGCTTTTACTACAAAGCGCTTTTATTGCATATTAAGGTGTGCATACTCTTGTCTTGAGTTCTCCCGTATGTCAAATGTCACATTTTGACATACGTGAGTATGCGCTGAGCTCGATTCTCGTAGTTTAGCAATGCGTTCTATATATAAAATATGTGTGTAAGTTAATTAAGTTTTTTTTAAAGTTAAATATGGAGAATAGTATCTCGATTAACCCGCCTAAGCACTTTTTAAGATATAAAGAATTTAATTTGTATAGACATATTGGAAAATGCCCTCAATGCACAAGTCAATCACCTAGCCAAAGGGACCGTTCAAGTATTACGTAACGAATTTTGGGAGGGGGGGTAAAACTTTGTAAAACGTAACAATGCTGGGCGGGGATTGAAGACTTTCCAGTACTTTACACCACATAATAGTAACTAAAGAGTCACTAGGTGGTCACGAAACGTTTTACTAGACTTGGGAACAGTACTATACTTGGGTACTGAAAAACGTTACGGCGAGTTACATGGGGGGGTCAATAATCTTCAAAAATTGCGTTACGTAATACTTGAACGCTCCCAAAACGCACCACGCACCACATATGGGCCCTTGTGGTACGCCAAGCCATTTACAATAATTTAGTAAGTGATACTGAAGAAGTGTTTAGGCGATCGAGGCTTGTAAATATGTAGTGCATTTTGATTAACTCTTGCTAACCGCATGTATTATTTAGACTAAGCATAACTTATTCGATCGTTTTGATATTATAGAAGCAATGTTACGTCTTCGGACGGGTGGAGTCATTTAGTGTTCGATAAGGTTATCATATATATATATGTATGTTTATTTTGTAATGCTACAGCTGACATGATATAACAAAAAACAATTACACTAAACAGCCAAAGATGCAATACATAATAAATACAAAAAAGTTAATTTACGAAAAGAAAATTTTAACTAAGTAATATCTAAGGGCTCCCACACAAAACTGCGAATTCGCATCGCATCGCAAATATCTGCGAATACGCACGAACGCACCGCAAGAATTTCCGATCTGCTTCGCATCGCACATTCTTGCGATATTACGTCATCCTTGGTGACGCCATTTTAGTCCGCTCTGAGACAGCTTTAGAGCCTCCGCCGCCTTCTTTGTTTATAAAAAATTGCGGAATATGATAATTTTAATTGAGGAGCATCCCGTCCTTTAGGACACAAGTGATGAACATTATAAAAATAAAATTATTAAGCAAGATGCGTGGAAGAGCGTCTGTGAAAGTTTGCATCAGAGTTCATAATCGTAATAAATGGATGAACCCAGAATCTTTTTTTTCTTTTATATCTATTTAACAATAACAGCAGTGCAATATTCTTTTTGCGATTCATCTTACGCTTCCTAAAAACACGTCCAGTACGGCTGACTACGAAGGAATGGTCGCCCTACCAAACGGTTTGCCGCACTAAATCGTATCGCATCGCATCGCAGTTTGGTGTGGGAGCCCTAAATCGGGTGTCTTGTATGATGGTGTGAAAGTGAGTGGCGTATTTTTGAATGAGAGAAACTCCAATGTCAAATTCAAAATTATTATTCATTAAGGTATCATAAAGAACCGACACCCTGAAGTTAGCATAATCAACATTTTAAAAATTGTAAATTTCTTTAATTGTGTAAAAATAATTTTTTTGTGATATTTAAATAAACTTACTATTTTTTTCTATTGTTAGTGTCGTTTTTTCTACAAACGTAGAATAAGGGAATAAGGCGAAATATAAAAAAATTAAAAAGATTTTGTTATTGATCTCGTTACGCCCAAGAAGTATAACTTCTAACGCGTGTACCCACGTTTTTTTTTATATGATTTACTAACGTAATTTTACTAATCCAATTCAAAATGAAAATTGATACGTATCTGAAAGCGTCTGGACTTATTAAGAAAATTCTTTTTAATATACGCCGATAACAGCCAAAAAAATTTTATTTGACTTCTTGAATTTGTTTACATATAAATTGTCCTAACTTTAATCTTAACGTGTGTCTTCTTTAAAACTAAAATTTTGAGCTCTTCAATGTATTGTAGATTTTTTTTTTGCAACTACCCGCAACGCTTTGAAAATATTATGTAATCTATTTTTTATATATCGCGAGTGTTACTTATATAAGGTAAGCATATACTATTATATATGGTTGTGGGAATATATTTACTAACATATATTAACCAGTTTTATATGAGTTTGTGAATGTGTAAATTTTAGATCAGAACTAGCAGTATCCAAACGATTCTCAATCGTTAAAATCCCGACACCAAACCAATTTGTTTTATATGCGCAATGAAAACATGCGCCGATTAAAAACGGTTTTAGGTCTGGGACTCAGTGTTCTATATCTGTTTCACTATATAATTTTTTAATAGGCGATTGGTCTTCTGCGCCTGACACACTTCGACTGGGTCTAAGGGAGCGTTCAAGTATTACGTAACGAATTTTTTGTCTTTTTGTAAAACGTTACGATACGGGGCGGGGTACCAGTACTTTACACCACATAATGGTAACTTATGGCGCGTTACATTGGGGGGGGGGTTTCAATAATCACCAAAAATTGCGTGACGTAATACTTGAACGCTCCCTAAGGCATGCCGGCACCGTACCAGCTAGCGTACATGGAAAGCCCATTGGTGTACAGCCTGGGTTCGAACCTACGACTTTGATAATGTCAGGAATAAAAGGCTGGTGTTCTAGCCTACCAATAAACCATCCAAGAACCAAGGGTTGTAACGCTGCGTACATATGTTAAACGGATCTAGAGTTTACAACTTTGTCAAACTCATTTTAGATTTCGTTCTTTAGTTGGCCCTTTTTTTTTTGTTCGTAGTTTTTAGCTTTTTTTTCTTTGCAGGATTCTACTGAGACAATGTAGTAGCTGTTGAAAAAAGGTATTTTTTTGTAGTTATTAAAATTAATATATATAAACGACAAGTCGAAGGCAAGTGATAGTTGCTTAACTCTTTAAATTCATTTAAAAAGTCTATTTTTTTAATGAATATCTTTTAATTAGTAAATTTACGCATCCTGTGTTGTTTTCATATCCAACTATCCGATGGTGTTGCAAACATGCCCATCCAACTGTGACATAAAGATGGCGTGTTCAGTCCGAATTGTAAAAAGTTTTTGAAGTGAAAACTTAATAAAACACTATTTTGACCGGTTTGAGTCACCGTGACCACGCACGCTGTAAAGCACGCGAAACGTCGGATAAATTTAAAATTATGTTAAATAGTTGTAAATTTATAATAATACATAACTTCAATCCGGTCAAAATAGTGTTTTATTAAATGAATAAAAGTTATGTTAATCAAAGACAATACTAAGTGAAAACTTCTTTAGCGGCGTTGCACACTTTTTTTGGAATGGGTAAAAAATGTTAAACTCGCGTCAGTACACGTGACCTGATTGAAAATTCGTAAGACGGATGGAGAGTAGACAGCTGGCACGGCGTATTTAAATATAAATTGTCATGTTTGTGTACGATAGCGCAATAAATAAATATTGTATTCTGCCACATAAATGATAGTACTTTTATACTGATAATTAAAGAAATTCGTGCAAAATTATTCCTTAACCATTCCAAAATATCGAAAATGCACAACGTTAATATTCAAGTTTTCACTTCACGGCACTCCCGGAGTGCAACCCGTTGTTTTTTTTATTAATTTTCCTATCACCCGTCTTCAACTTGTCGTTTATTTATGGACCGATTTTAGAGCAAATGTTGGTTTACCTCAAAAGACCATTGAAAACATTTGGGTCTTGACATCCATCTCTGGGAATCTAAATGACAGCTATGACCTGTCACATCAATGACATTTGACGCAATCGCTCAGATGAAAAATCTATTATAACCGTTTTTGAAGTCTGATTCTACTAAGATTGTTATTACCTTCAGTATTGTTGTACAGTGTGAATACTGTCTCACTTCATCTCGGTGTAAACACGCTTGTTAGAAAGAGACGAAAAAGTGTCAGATTGGTCTAGTCTAGTCATAACAGAAATTTAGTATTGTACAGTATTCACTAGATCTGTCTCTTTTCATCACACTGTAAATGCGTTTGTCAGAAAGGGACGAAAGAGTCCAACATTGATCTCGTCTTAACAGACATTCAGTATTTATTGTACAGTATTCAATAGGTCTTTCTCCCTTCATCATAGTGTAAATGCGTTTCTTAGAAAGAGACGAAATTCGAATCGTCTACACTCTATGCACAGAATAATATACCCACTGCCCAGCCCAAATGTTTTCAATCCGTTCTTGATTATTAAATTTGACTGTAATTTTTGTGATGTGAAATAAATGCGGGTTTTGTTTTTCAGGTGCCCCATAGAAGAAGCAAAGATATAGTTTTAAGTATTGCGTATTGCCTTTATGCTTTTTAATAACGGTTGGATAAATTAAGATATACTAAACATATATTTTTACGATATTATAGAGCTTAATTGAATTTTTTATGAAGAGTCTTTCTGTCTTATTTTATTAAATTCCTATATATTTTATATTGTTTACAGTCTTCGAATGTTATGTGGTGGTTTCCAACAGGGAACAACCAAGTTTCATCAAAATAGTGTCAGTTTTGAGTTTATGTTGACAGTTTTAATTGTTAACAAAGTTGTATTGCTTCTAATATTTTCCAATCTAAGCCCGAATACAAAAGTTTTGTCAAATTTGTTGAGATGAGGCAAAAAAAAATTTTTTTAAGTTGAATGTTTAAATCAAGATTACTATACATATAATGTATGATATTGTTTCGTTTTGGTTCCCAATGCGTCTACGGAGCGCTATTCAAGAGTTCCAGATATTTTTTCTTAATAAATTTTACATTAAAAACTATTCTAAAGCTCAGAGGTAAACTTAGGTTCGACCCGAAAGTTTGTTTGATGCAGCAGCTTTTCTGTGTGTTTGGGCGAAGTTTTTAATTATTTGTTATCTATTGCTTTCTTGTTATGCTTATAAAGTATAATGGTTAATAAAAAAATATAAATTAATATTGAGTTTTTATTTAATATATAAAATTCTCGTGTCACAATGTTCGTTCCCATACTCCTCCGAAACGGCTTGACCGATTCTTATGAAATTATTTATGCATATTTAGTAAGTCTAAAAATCGGCTACTTCAAATCGGATCTTTCAAACCCCTAAGTGTTAAGGGTTGTCCACCTCGATTTTTTTTAATTTTTAGTTTTTTCTTGTTTTTTTTTGATACAGCATACAAAAATATATACAACCCTTAATCTTCACCCCTCTACGATCAAACCCCTATTTTTTATTTAACTAAAACAATGTTTCTTAGAAATAATATACATGGCAAAACAACGTTTGCCGGGTCAGCTAGTTTTAATCTAAAATTTAGTTTAGCCGACATAAATGTCGTTAATTTTGACGTGACAACGTCTAATAAATCGATGAACGCCGGGTTCATGCACGAAAAAGCATGACTCATTGTCCCGTTACGCTTAATGTCCCGGTACGCTCATTGTACGCACACGCATCTATCTCTCTTCCACTCGAAGACTTAAAATCATTTCATCAATGTTTTGTTATGACGTCACGTTATACTATCGCCATTTTTTATGCACTTGTACTTTACCCTCTGTAGGTGTTTCTCTTTTATTTTCCATAAGTTTGCCTGGTATAAATCTATTGTACGCGATAAGGCCGCCCGTTGCCTAATTGTTGCTTTTTTTGTATGAGGTAACTAAGTGTAAATTAATAAATAATTTTTATAAAAACGATCGAATAATTTTTGAACATAAAATTATTAAATAAACCTACCATAGGTTCTAGATATTGTATAGGATAAATAAGTAAATATATACTTTATTAGTTTATTATGCTTAGTCAAAATCCAATACGCCAAATGAGTTTCATTATCGGACGTTGAGACAGAATACGTAATTCCTCCCGTATCACCTTGACGTCCGTCGTTCCACAATCAAGCAAGGCAATTTTTGCCGCGCACCACCACTATGTGGAGTGTGCTGCCCTCTGAACTATTTCCGAACCAATTATACTTACAATTCGAAGCAAAGGGTGTACTAATTGCCTTCTGACAATGTGAGTGTCCATGGGCGGCGGTATCACTTAACATCAGATGAGCGTCCTGCTCGTTTGCCTCCTACTACATTAAAGAAAAGTCGGTAAATATGTATGTGTGTGATATTATTCCTCACATGCACCCACACACTTACTCATTTACTCACATGCACCCACACACTTACTCATTTACTCACATGCACCCACACACTTACTCATTTACTCACATGCACCCACACACTTACTCATTTACTCACATGCACCCACACACTTACTCATTTACTCACATGCACCCACACACTTACTCATTTACTCACATGCACCCACACACTTACTCATTTACTCACATGCACCCACACACACACTGGTGCACTCACGCATATTGTAAACAGTTTAAAATAAAACAAAATTGTAATAGAAAAACACTAACAAAAATTGTTTAAGAATTAACTATTAAGTTTGTTAACATACTAAGAGTCGATTCGACCAAACTTCAATTTATACACGAGTAACTATACCAAGAATAATCTATTCCATGATTTTAATCTCGAGTAAATCCATAGTCGTTTGTCCACGTAATCGATAGTATAATTGCGCTAGAAATAACAATACGCGAATAGCAAGAGAATGGTGAACGAAAATAAAACTCGGCAAATAAATGTTGTTCTACAACGGGACAGTGTAAGAGCATACATCATGTCAACTCGATTTTGCCGTGAAAAAGTAGCTTTTAACAGGTGTCAAACGACAACAAAAAGTTTTTATTTCTTGTTTGTTTGAGGCTTTCGTCTAAAAAGGAACTTCTGTTGAGCCTAGTTGAATTTCATTCTAATATTATAGAAAATAAAAAATCTAAATATAAATATATAAATAATAAATTGTTTAAACGTTTCATTATACAATGCCAGACTATTAATTTAGTGCGTTGCGTTGACTTGAAATTAAAACACAGAATACATATTTGTGAAATGACAGAAATCAGCTGATTGGACTGACTGACGCCATTAAATTATTCTAGGAATAGTTGTTATTCCGTGCGAAACGGCGGTATAGTTGCTATTCCCGAATAAGCCCACTATTCTTAGAATTTGTAGTTGGTAAAACGTAAAATTGATTTACTCTCGATTAACTGACGATTTATTCTAAGATTAAGATTTACTCTTGTTTGGTCGAATCGGCCCTTACACAGATATTTTTTACTTAAAAAGGTTCCAAAATCTTACACATTATTATGAATAAATATATTTTTTAAATTATAACTTCTGTATGAGAATATATTCTATTTTTACAGGTTTCCAAGCGGGTATTCCTCCCAGTTCAGGCGTAAGTATTTTTTTAATTATACATTACTACAATTATTCAAATAGTGGCGTGGCGGCAAAGTTTCACAATAAATAATTTATTTTGTTAACAAAAATTCCTCTCCTAACAGGTGACCATAGACAAGAATACATAATCAATAAAGATTTACACACAAAACAAATATAAGAAATTAATTAGGAAAAGTTAATTGTTTTTAGAGACACTGATAAATGGTAGAACTCAATTCGCACAACGGACAATAAAAATGGTCCGTTAACCTAACTAAATACAACGAATCAAGTGACCTTTTCAAAAGGTTAGTCCTGGGCAGGCCCCCCGGCAGAGCCTGTGTGCGAAACTTCGTGTTATATATAATATTAAGTTCTTCAGTTTTATATACTTAGATTATATTTTCCTAAATAGCTAAAAACAGTTCGCTTCCGCTTATTCAGGGAGATGATCAGACGTAACTTTAGCGGCATCATCTTAAATTAAAGACAAACAAATTTTATTTTATTAATAAACAGGTAAAGTTTTACGATGCGCGCGCACACCGTTACAAAAAACCGACACCCTGAAGTTAGACTATCATCATTTTAAAATAAAAAATGTCTATTTCTTGAATTATGTAGAAATATTTTTTTAAAGTTACACTTTTGGCGCGTTAGGGAAAAATGATGAGAGTAAATTTTTTCTATTGTTTGTGTCGTTTTTTCTACAAACGTAGAATAAGGCGAAAGATTTTTATCTTGTTACGCCAACGAAGTATAACTTCTAACGCGTGTTTTTTTTTATGTATAGTATACATTGAAATTTCTAAATAAGTAGGCGCAAAATTGCTTCCGCCACGTTGACGTGGGACGTTACGCTAATGCATTATAATTAAAAACAGGCATAATTTATAAGCTTCTTCTGTTGGTGCCTCTTCATTACTGCAGATAGGTCGTCGAAGCGTGTCCTGACCTGTGCCAGATGCAGCCATCTGCAGTCGCAAAACCCGTCCACTCCCTAACATATAATTTAAGTATATAACAGTGTTTATTACATTGCTATCGGACTTATGTAATAATGAATAACTTTAGGGTTACGCTACAACATATGCCGCACCGCAACAGCGACAAGGGCTCGGTACGGGCGCAGCTGTAGGGTTGGGAGTTGGTGCCTTGGCGGCAGGAGGTCTGGCTGGTTACGCCCTGGGCGGTGGATTTAGCAGTGACAGCCCTACTCGTGAGGTACATTAATAATTTCGATTTTAATACATTAATATTTCATCCTATGTTGTTAAATTTTTCAAAAAGAAATCAAAATCCTTTATTCATTTCGGTATCCAATGTACACTTATGAACGCCAATAAAAAATACATATTAAATGCTTCTAATTTTACATTTACTGCCAGTTCTCAAATTAAGGGCGTCGAACGGACGAGAACTGGCAATAAACTCTCCGCCACTCTTTTTAATTGCCAAGTTTTTTTGATTTATTAAGTGTTTGTAAGGAGCTGTAACCATTACACCATGTTCCACATGACATCTTAAGTAATTATAATAATAAAATAAATTAAAAACTAAGATTTGTCCTCTATCAGCAGAAGGCATGGTGAAATAGGAGCACGGACTTACATTATTCTAGGAAAAACGGATTATTAGTTTAAGAAAACAATGAACTGGAGAAATCGTCTAATGTAGATAATGAAAATGACGGAGAATCTTGGACAGACTAGGCTAAGAATAAAATGAAGTGGTTTGAAGATCTTCACTCATGCTACAAGTAGCGGCACGAAACTCTAGCGCTGACCGTTATTGCGCAGAAGTAAATATTAAGGTACCTGAGGGGGGCTAGCGGGGGCGCGTAGCGTCGATTGGCTCTCCAGTCGCATTCCGTCCCCCGCGCGACAGTACACATGCGCAGCAATCCCCTTCACGTATCGGCCAGCGCTAGACTTACGTACCGCTGCCTATAGCCAATACAAAATATAAAATACATATGCAATTCTATTCTTTACGCTTTTAAATTTCTTGCGGGTTATTTTTGAACCCGTGAATTTTAATTACAATTTTGATAACATCAAACATGAAATTATGGAGGACGAAAATTAGGAGTGTTTTTTAAAAACACTTTAATTTCTTCCGTGGCGGTATAATATACTAAGTAGATAGATAGATAAAAAGCTCACGCGCAGACGAAGTGCGGGTACTTCTTAAAAGTTTTGGCATTAGTCGTCTCCGAATCATAGCTATCACGCAGGCGCAATAGACGGACCACAGTGGCAGCAGTTTTCGAACAAAGGATTTTTGCTTTGGTCCGGTCACGGTCACGTGTTTAATGTCAGTAAAAGTAATGTTAACTGTCATGTAGAAGAGAGGCTGAGTTCAAAATTGGCGGGGATTTTGACGTTTCTTTTGGGTGACAGCTCCATCCGTGGCATGATTGAGAGATCTAGAAATCAGTGTAATAGGAACTTCATGATTCAATGCATATAAGTAAAATTGTTATTTAATACTAATAATAGATCATTTCGGGTTTGTTTTTAAGGAATTTACAGCTCCATACGAATTTATTAGAGATTCTAAAATATCTTACGTTAATTAAACTTTAGAATTATTATTTTTTAATACCAGCACGTAGCTAAGTTGTAAGCATTGAATCGTTAAATTCTTTGTTTATTCGTTTCTAAAACTACAATTTTTACACGTTTTTGTAATTTTGCCAAGTTTGTCAGCTGTCAAATGTCTTCTGTCATCGCATTGTGCAGTAATCATGTGTTTGACATATTAGATACGACAATTGATTACTCTTTTTTTTTTACTGTCCAATAAGTTTAATGTTTTAAAATTAAATATTTTTGCTCCCACAGGAACCGCAAGTGGTTGGATTCTCTGAAAGTTTCGGCGGTGACGATTGGGCAGAGTAATACAAGAGGCCATAGTGTTAATTTAATTTGATAAATGTACTATAAGCCTTAATTAAATAATGCCTTCGATATTTAACACGCGAAAGAGACAAAAAGTTGTCTCTGGAGAAGATTTTGATAACCATTTCAGAATATTAGTGACAATAAACAAATCGTCATAGTCGTAGGATAGTGACGGATCTGACAAATAGTAAACTTTACAGGGCAGCCATTTCAAAATAATATAAAGATATTAGTTTTTGTCAAAACTATTTTAATTCATATTCTGTTGTTATGAAAATTGGCATACAAGCAAACAAAAGAAAATAAAAATAATAACATTAAATTACACAGTTTTCTAGAAAAATCTATCAAATCAGTCACTATACTGACTGATTAATTTGAAATTTGTAACACGTGGCTTTTTCATGTAGCTGTAATATTTAGTCAATGTAGTATCCAAATATGATAAAAAGTGGATTAAAGATTTTTTTTCACATCCGACATTGTTCTACGATCATGACGAAATTATTGTTTTTAATTATGTTATTGCCTCTAAAAGATTCATAATTTTAAGAACCCGCCAAAACGCTTCTCTGTGCAAGATGGCGTCGCATCAGTATTTTGTACACACGTAAACAAATGTCAAGATTTTTAAGTGTTAATTGTCATTTTTAACTAATCAATGGGACGAAAATAAACTCTAGGTCAGTATAGTATTAGACAGACAAAGACATACTACTTACAACTGATCTGTGACAGTTGTAAGTATTTTTAATTAAATATATTTTGATAAATTATTGATTTGTTATTTTACTCCATATTTGAAGTCGTGTTTTATACAGATACAATAAAATTTAATTTTATAATGTCAACCCATTTCACGCTTGTAACTAAAGTACTCTTTCGCCTCTTTCTGACAAATTTTGTTTAGAGTCTATGTGAAAAATTTAAGTATCAAGGTGATCTGTCAAACTATAATGACGTAACAGTGTTGCCAGCAATAAAAAGGTAATTTAATACTGCAGGAACCTCAAATATGCTCTGCGCACAGATGGTTTAATTAAGGCTTATAGTGTTTTTTTTTTAATTAGGGAGTCTACAGATTCAGATATATATGAGATAATAATTGTATTATATAAAAGCTTTGATAAATTAAGAAACAATAGTCTATAGATGATATCTTTGACTATTTTATAAAAACCACTGTACCATAGTAATTGTCTAATTTACTAACATTGCGTGCGACGGAATTGCGATATGTCAAATGTCTTTATTTTGTGGCGCGCAGAGCTTGTCTCTGATAATGGATATGTTAACGTATAATTGTAAATACCGTTAGATTGTAATCTATCTCGCGAGATTATAAACTGTCGAAAGATTGTGAACTCAACGTACTGCTTACAATTTAACGTATTATTATTCGGTAAATTATAATCTATCGAAGTGAAATCGTCAAATTGTGAAACGGTACGCACCTCGCGCGCTGATTGGTCGGCTTTATAGTAGACCGTTATATTATGTCCATAGAGTTAGGAATGAAACAAGGGTATCGGTCAAATAAAATGAATGCACTTCAAACATTAGTATTTATTGTATCAATAATTCTGACATCACATGATAAAAAAACGTAATCAGAAACGTAACAATATTTTCTCTTCAAACACAAATTAAAATTGAAAAATTAATGAAATTTTCTTTTAGAAAAAAACGATCACAAAAAAAATCCAAATTTAAAAAAAAAAACAAATCGAAAACATATGAACGTTTTTGAAAACATAACAAAATTGTCTATTATATAAAAAATAAGAAAGTAAATTGCATCAATAAAAATGTTCAATTATTGTTGCACGTCAACGAGTTGTGGCACCTGGAGTTACAAAGAACATTAACTTTCTTTTTATTTTTTTTGCAATTAAATTTTTTACTATTTTCATTGCCCGCTGTAATAGTTTTGTAACTCTATGGTAAATTCTTCCTTATTAACAATACCTAATATTTCTGAGTTTTGTTGATCGACAGGCTCAATATCCGACATTGTAAATACGAGATCACAAAGGTTCACGCGGATAAAAAATATTAAAACACGGAAAATGTATGTAATTTAGACTATGTTTGGAGACCAACACTAACTTAATTATCATTCAAACTGCACTTTTTTGGTCAATCACAGATTAATTTTACTTCCACAACATTTTCATATAACTTTTCACGTTCACTTTCAACATCCTAAAGCTGCGAGTTACTTTCAAGACGACATCAATTTACATTCACCAAAACACCGTTTGTTTACATTCGACAACAAACGAATTAACAAACAAATATGGTCGCCACCATGGCATATTCCGTTCAACCAATCAGCGCGCGAGGTGCGTACCGTTTCACAATTTGACGATTTCACTTCGATAGATTATAATCTACCGAATAATAATACGTTAAATTGTAAGCAATACGTTGATTTCACAATTTTTCGACAGTTTACAATCTCGCGAGATAGATTACAATCTAACGGTTTTTACAATTTTACGTTGACAGATACAACATTGTTATTATATAGATTCAACGTGTAAGTACAAAATGAATATTTATTATTTTTGAAAGGATATATACTAAAAATTGAGAAAATATTTAAATAGATTATGATTGAAATTATTTTTTTTTTTATTTATATATCAAATTACGCAAGTTGCACGAGGGTTACGTTGTACGCAAAAATTGATTAGCCATCAATTCCTATATTTTAATTTGAAGCAATATTCTGTATTTGTGACTCCCCAAATTTAAGTATAGTGCAGACAAATAAGTTGGCAAGAGAACGCCTCACGAAGTACACCGAAGTTAGTACTTCTAGCCGCTTCGTACAACACGGATGACTTCCCATGTCAAATACGAAGTATAATTGAAGAACCTGGGCACTTTAGACTTTTGACAACGTTGACAAGTTTGTGAAAGCTTCGTGAGTAGAGGTTTTAAATCTTGCCAACTTATAGGCCGAGTGCTTATTATCAATAGATGATGAACAACAGACGAATGTCAAAAACTAATAAGCATATAAGGGCATTAATATATTATAAAATATATGCTTTTATTTATAGTTCAGTAATACTTGAATATGAGTTTGTCTCACGAATACTATCTAGTTGATCAAGTTAGCTTGCAGTAAAAAAGAAAGAATATGACGAAATTCTCGTGATATTTTAATGGGTAATTAGTCAAGATCTGCTTTCCAGTATAATTCTTGGATTTAAGTCATGCTGGTTTCCTACAGCTTAGAAGTCAATTGGGCATATAGAACGAAAATGCGAGCAAATGATAAACCTGTTTTGTTTTTAATTTTTAAGGGGGTTTCAATTGACGTATAATTATTGCTATTAAAAATGCCATGAGAAAATCATATAGATAGTTCCCCAGCTCCTTAGCTAATTATTTTAATGCCATTTCGTAAATTTTGACCTATTCGAAAGACAGACTATATTGGCTTTGGGTAATTAAGAGTTGCCATGGTAACGGTTTTTCGTTAAGTGGTTACCATGGTAATCGTATATGTGAGTGACAAAACGATTCTAAATTATGCCTTAGATATTATTAAAATATATTTTAATAAAAAATCGGCCATAGGCACTATTGTAGATTTCATTAAATATTTTTAATTAAATTTATGTTGTGTGCAAGTTTTACTTTCATCAATTCTTCCTTGCCGATATTTATAATAAAGGCTAAAAGAAACCTATGTCAATAACAAATACGCTTTTGACATGGCAAGAGCGTCGACGCGCGACGGTGTAATGCGATGTTTCCCAACGCCCCATGCGGCATGCCCCAAAGGTGGGCAATTAGATTGCTAAGGGGGGCGATAAAATTATTTGTAATTTGATTTTCAGTTTTTCATTATTTCCTTACTGTATCAAATTCCTAGTGATTTCTTCGTATAACCTATCATTTAAGATTCTTAAGTGAACAATTCAATTTTTATTAGGAATATTTTTTTAGGGGGATAAGAATTGCCCCCATTCCCATTTCTTTCCCAAGTTATCGAACTTTTTGCACACGTTTTTTTTAACTAGAAATATTATTTTAATTATATCTATATATTAAAATAAGCACAAAATGATTTTAAATCGTGATTTCTTTTCAAAACGTTTTAATCTACACAGTAACTAGGGGAGCGTTCAAGTATTACGTCACGCAATTTTTGGAGATTATTGACCCCATGTAACGCGCCGTAACGTTTTTCTGTACCCACTTTGTAGTGACTCCTTGTACCTTAAAGTAACCATTATGTGGTATAAAGTACTGGAAAGTCGAAAATAATATTAACAATAACGCGTAATTCAATCCCCGCCCCGCATCGTAACGTTTTACAAATCGTTACGTAATACTTGAACGCTCCCAGCGCGGGCACACGATGCGGTAACGGTGCGGTGCGGCGCCACACCGCAATTACTTCGAGTTATAGGGTGCCACACAGGCGTTGCGGTGTGGCAATATATTTTACACCTCCCCGCCTCGTCTCGCAGGTCACAAGTCCGGCGCCCTTGCGGTGTGACGCCGCGCGGCGACGCAACGCGTCGTGTGACATGATATAGTAATTTGTATGTAGGATGACGTTGCGGCACCGCTCCGGCGCCGCCTATTAAGGCCCTCATTAGGAGCCTTATCATAATATTAAATTCTGTTTACCTTCAGAAACACTGTAAATGTCGAGTTAATGTAATAAATAAGCGTAAATGTCGGGTAAGAAGATTTTACTTAAAGAGAATTTAAAATATATGAATCACGTGTGCGGTTATCTTTAGCACTAGCTTATGTATAAATAATTAATTGATATAATGTCGTTTATTGTATTTTAATATATATCATTTGTTCGATAAGTGTTTTATTTTACCATCCTTTTTGTATTATAGTAACGAATTTTTATCCTCTTGTAAAACTTTACTGAAAACACTAATATCCATGACAGCGACGCTCTTACCGGCCAAGAATAGTATATATATGGCAATGTTGGTTGCGGCATCAAACATGCCAATTGCCAAACTCTAGATTTTGTTATGTTGTTCAAAAGCAGACTTAGGTGTTTTAAACATGAGAGTTTAAAAAAAGGTATTTATACACGTGCGAAGTCGGAGCGGGCTGTTAATGGTTAAGAATTAGACTTTTCTACCTAAAGCTGGGCCAGACTCTCGCTAGACGCCTTCGCCTTCGCCACGAATGCACCACACTCTCGCTTTTTTAGTTCCTCGCAACGTGTACGACGAGATGTCCTTAATTGGAATGACTGCGTTAGCTACTTTATATGCCTACCAATATTGGCTTGCGTTTATATCACACATAGAAATAATAAATTTCATAACATGCCGGTATAAAATCGGCATTAATGATGTTTTTCGACGTGAAAACGTCTAATTAATCAATGAATGCCAGCTGCACGCACGAAAAAGCATGACTAATTGTCCCGTAGCGCTCATTGTACGCTTGCGCCGCATTTATCTTCCGTTTGATGACTTAAGTATGCAATAATTTCATCAATGATTTGTCACGTTAAACTGTCGTCCGTAAATCGACTTTATAGACAAACTATTTTTAGTTTTAAACCTCTGTAGGTAATGATATTTTTTATTCTTGATAAAATTCTATAAAACCCATAAACTAATCGTTACGCCACTCCATCATGATAAGAAAACGCGCGTGTCCCAACAGTACAGTAGTTAACAACAAAGTGAGCAATCTCGAGTTTTTTTTTTTATGTAATAGGAGGCAAACGGGCAGGAGGCTCACCTGATGTTAAGTGATACCGCCGCCCATGGACACGCACAATGCCAGAAGGCTCGCAAGTGCGTTGCCGGCCTTTCAAGAATTGGTACGCTCTTTTCTTGAAGGACCCTAAGTCGAATTGGTTCGGAAATACTTCTGTGGGCAGCTGGTTCCACATAGTGATCGTGCGCGGCAAAAACTGCCTTAGAAAACGCTCTGTTGTGGAACGACGGACGTCGAGGTGATACGGATGGTACCTATTTTGTATTTTGCCTTGACGTCCGATGATGAAACTCAGCTGCAGGTATTAGACCGAACAACTCCTCTGAACCCTCTCCATGGTAAATGTGGTAGAAGATGCAGAGAGATTGCCTAGCCCGCTCGCGTCCTTTAACTGAGGGCCGATCGCTGGCCATGCGTCATACTTGTGAACGGGTGCTACTTGATGTGTTTGCGGTGATGTTAGTTATTTCGACTATGTATTTGCGTGTTGTTCCCACGAGAATGTAAGTGCGTGCTCCTATTTCACCGTGCCTCCTGTTGATAGAGGACAAATCTTTGTTTTTAATTTATTTTAGTATTATTTATTACTTTAGATATCATATGGAACATGGTGTAAAGGTTGCAGCTCCTTACAAACTTTGTGTGAAACAAAAAACTTGGCGATTAAAAAGAGTGGCGGAGAGTTTACTGCCAGTTCTTCTCTTCCGTTCTGAACCCTTGGTTTGAGAACTGGCATGAAGTATTTCATATATATACATTGTCTTTAGACGTTCATAATGTGTTACCTATATGAATAAATGATTTTGACATTGACTCGCACCCCAAAAGCGGAGAGACGGCGAGGCGCCGTCCACACTCTCGTGCTTGCGCGTGGAGAGTGTGGATGGGCAATAAGGCTGTCTATGTCACTATTTTGACCGTTGCTATGGCAACGCCAGTCACTAATAACAAAACAACGACGCATAGATTTTGCCAATCCATTATTTCGTTAAGAAAATGTCTGGATTAAGTGGTTATGACAGCGAAGCTATTGGCTTTGACAGCATACCTCAAGCGAAACGTTCAGGAGCTCAAAGCGGAACACAAACAAATTTTTCCGCATCTGGTGTTGGTTGTCAAACAACCCTCAATCACGACATTGGATGTACTGCCTCCGAAGTGGTAACCTCAATAAAAGAACCGGCCGGTCTTAACGAATTCCTTCGAAAGGTGGTACCAGCTATGATGGATCAGCTTGACCAGACAGAGAGGGACTTCTCCTCAGATTCCGATGATGAGGAGGTCCTAAACGCCAAGTTGTTCCAAGAACTAAAGCTCCACGATGGCATTGGAGCCGGCGATCACCAGACAGCGGTTTTAGGTGTAACCTGGAGCAGTGCTGGGAATTCGTTGGCCGTTTCCATCGGAAAGTTGCAGCATGAGACTTGGTGTCAGAATACAGGTTTGATTAAGGTAAACTATCTTGACTTACTTGAACAGTGGTGGCCTAGTGGCTTCAGCATGCGACTCTTATCCCTGAGGTCGTAGGTTCGACCAATGGACTTTCTTTATACGTGCGACGTGCGTATTTAACATTCGCTCGAATACTAAAAGAAAACTGAAGGTGAACGGGTGCTACTTGTGGTGACTGGTCGTACTTGAATTCGTGTATGCGGTGATGTTAATTATTTCGACTATGTGTTTGCGTGTTGTTCCCACGAGAATGTAAATGCGTGCTCCTATTTCACCATGCCTCCTGCTGATAGGGGACAAGTCTTTGTTTTTAATTTATGTTATTATTATTAATTACTTAAGATGTCATGTGGAACATGGTGTAATGGTTGCAGCTCCTTACAAACGTTGTGTAAAAAAAACATGGCTATTAAAAAGAGTGGCGGAGAGTTTATTGCCAGTTCTTCTCTTCCGTTCTACGCCCTTGATTTGAGAACTGGCAGTAAATGTAAAATTAGAAGCATTAATATGTATTTCTTTAATGACGAATCACAAGTGTACATTGTGTTACCTACGTGAATAAATGATTTTTGAATTTTTGAATTTTGAAACTATGTGAGTAAACCGGTTTGCGTTAGACCCAAAAAGTCAACGGTGTCAGGCGAAGAAGGCTGATCACCTACTTGCCTATTAGATTGACGAATGTAGCGCCACGGATTTTTTTACTTTGTTATACACAAATTATTAAAATACATTATCAAATTATTGTTTCATGCCGCGCTGCTTTTCAAGCTGAAGTAGTTCCGAACCAATTCGACTTAGGGTCCTTCAAAAAAAGAACGTACCAATTCCTGAAAGGCCGGCAACGCACTCGCAAGCCCTGTGGTATCACTTAATATCAGGTTAGCCTCCTGCTCGTTTGCCTCCTCATTAAAAAAATGTATGAATATTTTTTCCAAAACTAGTATTTTAAGGTTTGATAAAACACTATTTTGACCGGATTGAAGTTATGTATTATTATAAATTTACAACTATTTAACATAATTTTAAATTTATCCGACGTTTCGCGTGCTTTACAGCGTGCGTGGTCGCGGTGACCATTTTAAGGTTTTTAAATGGTTATAGGTTTTCACATTGAAGAGAGCCGGCGGAGAGAAATTTGTGCACAGCTTAGATATATCTGAAAAGAACTGTGTGACAGTTGTCAAATATCACCCATCTGTCGCCGCGTTGCTCGCGTATGGGACCACGTCTGGCGAAGTTGTTTTATGCAATTTAATGAATGGAAACATGGAGGAAGGTAGTATTTATTTAAGCACATTATTTATTTGTTTATTACTGTGATACAATTTTGTCCTAAATATTGTTACGAGATAGGGGATCGGATTATAAACGCCGAAGATCTCTTCAAGGGTTTAATTTTAAATAAATCTACGAGGAATTTGTTTACACTCAAAAGCCACAAATTACGCACAGAAATACACTAATAACACAAAATACGGTCACTAGTTCAATAACGCGCAAAACACACACACACTGCACCTTTCTTCCTGAAAACTTCTCTGAAAACTGTATCGCTCGACTACACATGTTCTGAAACTGCCTGAAAACGAGGGTAACTAAGCAATGGTAAATAAGCTAATTTCAATTTTCTAATATGTGATACAGCCTCTCATGAAACGACTTGAGCTTGCTGAAAATGTCTCTTACTTGTGGAAAAATCGAGAAACATTTCAGTCAACAAAACCCGACTTCGTAACAATATTATATTAGCGGCTTTAAAATATATTTAATGATAGAATTAAAAACACATGCAGTCCATTGCAATGACCCATGTAAGGGCAATCCTCCCTCTACCACCAGCATGCTGTTAGGGCTCCCCCGCACGCGCCCTAACAGAGATATAGCTCGCTTGCGCATCGTGAACTAAAAAGAGTCCACACCTGCACAACCAAACATTGTAGACACACTGCATGAGCAAGGGAGCCCCATCAACATCCTGAACGCTTCATTGAACTGAACACGAAGGGCTTTGTATAATTTTTTGTATAGTTTCTTTTGTTTAGTATTTATCGGACGAGAACTGTCAAGCTTCCTACCATTCTTATGGCCATTAAAATGGTAACGTTAACTTTAAAATATATAACGTTAAAATCAAATGCTTCGACGAGTTTTTGAAGTTATACTTCTTTAGGCGCGTTATGAAAAATTGATGAGAGTGAAAATTTACGATGCGCGCGCACCGTGACACAAAATTAACAGAATGAAGTTGCCCACGGAAGATGTTACGGCATTAGACATAATTTAAAAACAACATTCGAATAATAATAGAATTTATGTTACACTTAATGTAATATTTATTTATTTAATTTTTCAAATGTAAACTGAACTTTATTGACTATAATGACTCCTTTTCCAGTCTTTGATTATTTATGTGTAATTAATCATTTGCATGCAATAAAAACTATTTCAATAATGCCAAAGAAGCATAACTTCATACGCGCGTACATAAGTACACGCACCCTTTTTTTAAATCAAATACATACATTAATGTATAATAATTATAAAGGATAATTATTTGTAAGTTTTTAATGAATAAACTCGAAAACTAGTTGTCAAAAATCAATCAAAATCATCTCTTAGTAACATATTGTTATGAGCTAGGTCGTAAATCTAAATCTATAAAACAAAGTCGTGTTAGTTACACCACTTATAACTCAAGATCGGCTGGACCGATGTTAGTTATCTCTTTTTTTGGTGGATTAATAATAGAACAACAGAATAAGTAATAAAATATCGCATAAGTTATCGAATAACAATAAATTAATTAATTAATTTTACGAACGCAAACACCATGTGATGCCATCTGTTGAAAAAACTACGCATCATTTTACATCGAATTCGTGTTAGTTCAAGAAATTCCGATTTTGAAGTGAATGAGGAGATGCATAACCAGCCTTTGATCTTAATCGAAGACATGTGTTTCCTCATCAAAAAATGTTGTATATCAGAAAGTGCTTTGACATGCAGTATCGCAATTTTGGCGCTAGAGAGAAGAGGCCTAATGTGTAAAAATGTCATTCTTCTTTCGCAATGTCAAGCAATAAAACATTTCTGTATTTGCAAAGAAAGTTGTATTTTTGTTATTAGCAAAAACTTTTTTGTTTCGTCTGTAAATTATATAACTTAGAGTCGCCTGTTAGGGCAGAAGTGTTAATTAATAAATAAATTAAATAAATTTCTAGTATGTGATAGAGCCCCTGTTGAATCGACTATAAAACATATTTTTTTTTTTTATAAAGACGATTCACACCAATTGACCTAGTCCCATGCTAAGCTGGTGAAGCTTGTGTTATGGGTATTAGGCAACGGATGTACATACATATTATAGATAGATAGACATATAAATACATATTTAAACACCCAAGACCTCAGCACAACACCAAATGCTCATCACATCGATGTTTGTCTCAGCCGGGGATCGAACCCGAGACCCATGGATTCGCAGTTAGGGGTACTAACCACTAAACCAATGAGTCGTCAAATTAGAAAGATCAAGAAAACATTTCATACGACCTGTCTTCGTAACCACATACATACTATATATCCAAAATGAGGAACAGTTAAATAAAAATAAACACAGGTACCCAACTTGCCTCACCATCTGGCTGCCATGGATCCCGACGTGTGTCGGCTTTGCAGTGGGCAGACGCTCCACTCGCAAACGTATACCTCATCATGCAGATCCATAATAAGGGGAAGAGACGAGGGGCAGCTGATCAGGTTTTTTATTCATTATATTATTAAAGACACTATGAGCAGTGCTAGGCTAATCCCTAAGAGTTCAAAGAAGTTGTTCGGATTGATGCACCAAAAAAAAGCAGCTGAGTTTCATCGTTTAACAAGGCAGAATACGAAATTCTAGCCGTGTCAATCGACATCCGACGTTCCACAACAGTTTCCACAACCATTATGTGGAAGCTGTCTACTGACGTATGTCCTTCAAGAAAAGAGCGTAACAATTCAGCGTGCAACTCTTATCCCTGAGGTCATAGGTTCGAGTCCCGGCTGTAAACTACTAGTATTTCTGTCTAGCATTCAACCCTCGCACGACGAAGAAAGAACATCGTGAGGAAACCGGTATTAAAGCCAAAAAGTCGACAGCATGTGTCAGGCACAGAAAGCTGATCACCTACTTGTTATTAAGAAAAATAAATTAGGCAACGGATACAGAAATCTGAGGCCCAGACCTCAGGATTATATTATATAAGGTTATAGCGCCACTTTATTTATTATATAATACGTACTAATAATAATAATAGGTGGTGCAAAAATCCACATATCACTATAGAGTAAATTATAAATTCAAACTCAAACTCAAAATAACTTTTTAATACCCTGCAATACGCCACGTGGCGTAAAAAGTGGCGTATTGCAGGGACGTATAGCGTTCGGGATGTGGGCTATTACACACTCGTCCTTTTTTTACCTTTTCCGAACTAGTGCGTTTTCTTTCCCAACTGTCAAAATAATGTCTATTAAAAAGAAAAAACCAACCACGAAGTTTTTACTAAAAAAAATTCATAGAAATTTTTATGATTCATGCAAATATTTCTAAAAAGAAGCTACTGCTTTGTTTCAATATAAGACTTAATGATTTGATTCAATGAGTTAGGTTAGATTCCATTTCATCTCCCTTAAATTTCATTTCATATCAATAAAAAATTGTACTGAAGACTTGGCTGTATGGGCATAGTTCCCTTTGCCTACCCAGGATGGGTGAAGAAAAAAAATCTGCTTATATTCTTTTACGGTTGGCGCCATTTTCCAAAAATGTTCTTTGCGCGTTTAGTTGTTTGTTATATTATATATTAAATATACATGAAAAATCATACGAAATAAATAATAGTTTGTCTCAAACAGTAAATAAATATGCAACCTAAAACTTCTCCAGTTAGTATAAAATACTGTACCAATGTATATGTAAACAATAATTTGTATAAGAAATAAATGATTAGTGAGTTGAGTTTATTGTTTTTTTATTATTTTATTAAATTGCATAATTTTTTCGCAACTGTATTAAAAATAGTTGTTCAGTACACGTGCGGAACCGTCATTGCAACTTGTTCCGACTGTCAATTTGTCGAAACTCTTTGCAATGACAGGCTTTCCGCACTTGTAATGAAATATACTATATTCATATAGGTAAACAAGTAGGTACACTTATGAACGTCAGAAAAGAAGTTTAATTAATTGAAAATTTACATTTCCTACCAGTTCGCAAGTCAAGGGCATAGAGCGGGCAAGTAACTTTCCGCCACTCTTTTTAATCGCCAAGTTTAGAGACATCAACTGGAGCAAATCAAACCCAAGGATTAGGATCATTTAAATATTCGTCAATAGTATAAAAAGCTTTATTGATTAATTTACGTTTAACGAGAGCTTTGAATTTATTTAGTGATAATTCTCTAATTTCGCTTGGGCGTTAGTTGTTAAAACGAATACAATTTCCATATAAGGAGTGGTTTATCCTCTTCCATTCCAGGTGCTATTCTCATCTGGAAGCGACGGGACGTTGAACGTGTGGCAGGTGAACGCGAATCAGAAAGTATTCGAAAATATAACATCCTACCAAATCAATTCAACACGAAAAGTCGTTCCTGACATTACATGCTTCGATTTTGTGAAGTTCTATCCGCTGCGCGCGAGTTCTGATAAAGTACCCGACGATATTTTCGTCGTCGGGGCAAAGTGTGGGAGGCTGTTTCTATGCAAAATCCATGAAAATATTGATCCTGTATACGAAGTGTTGGAGGGGCATGGCACCTGTGTGCTGGACGTCGCGTTTGGTGTCCAAAAGCCGAATATTTTTGTCTCTGTAGCTATTGATTCCGAGTTGAGGGTGTACGATGTGATGCAGAATGCTCCGATAAAGGTATGTCCTTCTTTTTTATATTAAACTAGCTGATCAAGCAAACGTCATTTTGCCATGTATATCATTTGTAATAAAAAATAGGGGTTGATCGTAGAGGGGTGAAAATGAGGGGTTGTATGTATTTTTTAATGCTGTATCATAAAAAAGTAATAAGTAATTTATCTAAAAACTAAAAAAAATAATTTAGGGGTGGACTACCCATAACATTTAGGGGGATGAAAAATAAATGTTGTTTGAGAATCGGTCAAGCCGTTTCGGAGGAGTTTAACTACAAACACCGCGACACGAAATTTTATATATTAGATTATTTATTTCAACATTAACTATTCAATGTATAACTATTGGCGGGCCAACATACGTCATGTACACATATATTTAATATAAAATTTCAAACTTAAAAAACAGTGAAAAATCCATCTAATTGTAAATCGGAACTACTCTCGAATCCACTTAAAAACTCATCAAAATCGGTCAACTCATTTATTGAGTTCCGGCTTTGTCGGGAAAGATTCGACAGTCTTGGTCATGGCATTCTTAATGATAATTTCAATTTCATTTTGTTTTACAAAAATACATGTTTATACATAACATACTTCCACTAACAATTAACAAACTATACTAGTGACGTATAGTTTGTTAGGGGCCGATCAAGTATTACAGTAGTAGTAGTAACTTACTTGCAGTAAGCAGATTTACTGCAATTTATCCCTCCCCCCCCCCCCCTTCCTCTTGTCAGCAAAAGTAAGCAAAGATCTCAAAAATAATAGTACATAAACGTATGAATTTTTTGTAGGAATATGTGTAAAAAAGTAAATAATTACTATTGACGTAATCACCAAATAAGAAAATCAAAGACCGCATCCTTTAGTGCTTACGTAATACTTGAACGGTCCCTTAGTGTAAGTATGAGTAAGATTAAAAAGGGGATTTAATTTATTTTGTGGAACCTGAAGTTATTTAATTTTACTAGTTGAAGCGCTATTAAGCTCCAATTCTCGACTTGGAATTGGACCCCTTTAATAAAACCAACTATTGTTATCTTGACGTTTGGAATGATTTAAATAGCGAGTGGTAATCACGTTGTATAAATAATGTTATGCCATCAAAAACATAAAAAAGTGCGTGCGTACAAAGTACACATGTCAGAAGTGAAACTTCTTTGTAAATTAATTATTACTAAGGTAAAAGGTACATGTATTTGTATATCTATATTCACAAAGTTTATACACTGTATACGTGCTAATGATAATATAAATAAATAAACATTTTGGGTTTGCACAAGACGTTATGCGACAGAATTGCCATCTAAAGTTCTAATATGTAACTACTAAACGAATTCATCAACCAATAGCGTGTTGCTTCATGCTACGTTCGCCCTTTCTCTCTCAATCGGTCTCAATCGCTCTCTTCCTTTTGTTCGACAAAAACGCTGCACATCTTCGTGACGCTAATTTATTATTATTGCGTTTCATCCGTAATAATTTTACCTTCACGCGAAGTTACACTTAAAAATATTAATAAAACAAACTAAAAACTAATCTCACGGATTCATGAATTGCGATGCAATACAGAAGAATACCTACAAGAATTACAAAAGTCAAGTTTGAGCAGGATAGAATATGGTTAAGAAATGTTTATGCAGAAGATTTTTTAAACATGTTAGGGAGGTACATATCTTCTTTCTTCAGATATATTCTTATTTCTTATACAATCCCTTCTTGGTAACTGAAAATTCAGGCTTCTAATTTTATCGGACGTCAAGGCAGAATACAAAATACCATCCGTATCACCTCGACGTCCGCCGTTCCACAACTGTGCGTTTTTCAATTTTTTGCCGCGTACCACCACTATGTGGAACCAGCTGCCCACTGAAGTATTTCCGAACCAATTCGACTTAGGGTCCTTCAAGAAAAGAGCGTACCAATTCTTGAAAGGCCAGCAAAGCTCTCGCGAGCCCTCTGGCATTGGAGAGTGTCCATGGGCGGTGGTATCACTTAACATCAGGTGAGCCTCCTGTCTGTTTGCCCTCTGTACTATAAAAAAAAACAAAATGTCCACAACGAAGATATAGTGAGTCAAAAATGGCTTCGAGAAAGGATGGTACGGCGGTGCTGCTTTTTTTAGTCGATTTGGCGGGCTCACTGCCCCTAAGTAATAATAAATGAGTATTATTTAAATTGTAGTTGTTTTATTGAATTTCAAAAGGGAATGAAACGATTCACTCATTTATTTATTTATTTCGTAATCCTACAGCTAACATAAATTATATATAATAATAAACAGTTACACCGAAAATATAGCCAGAGATGGAATACATAATACCTACATTTAACTCAACTAAAGTTCAAAAATTTTCAAAAGGAAACAAACAAATAAAAAATATTCAATACATTTAACTAAGGGGGTACCTAATTTTGTTGTGTTGTGTGATGGTGTAAAAGTGAGGGTATGTATGTGAAGGTGTGTATGTGGGGTATGCTTATGATGCAGGTGATTTTGCGCTATGGATATTCTTAATACTCCTTTTAACCATATTCCGCGATAGCTTAAACAAGTCAAGGCTTAAATATTGGTCGTTGTATGTCCCGGCTTCGCGATACAAAACTGAGTTTTTTGCATAGTTAGTGTTAATGTGAGGAACATGAATTATTTATCTAGAGAGAATGCATTTGACCGCAATTATTTTTCATTTTCGTCGTAGTTAAGTGATATAAAGACAGTGTTAGTTAATCAAAGATATTCAGAAACATTTGAAATTTGAAGGTGCTATGTCTGGACTGGCCTATCTCGTGTATGGCCTGGCTCCCCACAATACCATGTGTTGTGCTTGGCCAAGCCGAAGAGGGGGAGATCAAAGTGTACAATGTGTCAGCTGGAAAACCGGTACCGGTTGAGGGATTTACCGGTAACACGTGTGTCACTTGCGTGGCTGTTAGTCAGATTGGGTAAGAACATTGCAACAAAAATAATCAATGCACAGTTTTTATATTTATTAATATTAAGATAAGTGGATATTAAGGCTAGTGGCTTCAGCCTGCGACTCTCATACCTGAGGTCGTAGGTTCGATCCCCGGCTGTGCACCAATGGACTTTCTTTCTATGTGCGCATTTAACATTCGCTCGTATGAAGGAAAAGATCGTGAGGAAACCGACATGTCTTAGACCCAAAAAAGTCGACGGCGTGTGTCAGGCACTGGAGGCTGATCACCTACTTGCCCATTAGATTTAAAAATGATCATGAAATAGATTCAGAAATCTGAGGCCCAGACTAAAGAGGCTGTAGCGCCACCCTTATATATATTAAGACTTTAAATGGCTATGATATAATGGCGAAAGAATGGTGTAATTTCAATACTATACAATTTTTTACCTACTTCAAAAAGGCGTAACACACGCTCGTACGGTGAAAGAAAATAATAGAATAGATACAGAAATGTTAGGTCCAGACTTAAAAGGTTCTAGGCTTCATTTTGTAAGTGTATGTAATATGTATGTTTGTCTAAAGATTATTCTGAATAATGACCCGACGATGATTTTGATATTATTATTATTATTATGTATAGAACTACACTAGCAGCTTAATAAGCTTTGAGATTTGGAGAAATTATCAAATCTATTTTTAAAGGAGGTCAAAGATGGTGCACTAATAACAACTTTCCGGAAGCCAGAACAGTCGGCCACTACTCGGTTTGGGAGAAAGTTCTTTAGGGAATTTGTGTTATGTTGAGTGGTCTTAAGTTTTAAAGAACTACCCCTCAAATGTGTATTTTTACTTAAAATAAAGAGCTTCTCAATTCCTGGAACATAATAGGTTTCAATTAGATTTCCTCTTAATCTCCTACTTCCTAAATCAGTAATATCAAGTGCTTTCAGACGCTCATTATAAGATATGTTTCAATATTTTTGTATTTTCGAATTTGCAGGACTTGTCGCATTGCTTCAGGGGACGCGGAAGGTCGCTTGCGCATTTGGGAACTCCCAACACGACGCATTAGGCTGACGGGAGATGATCTAGACTTTTAATTTAATACTATTGTTATTTAATAAATTTTATTTTTTTTACGTTTTATTGTTTTAATTCCCTCCGTAATTTAAAATAGGGACGGTATTTCTGTGTCTCTTTATATAAATAAATAAGGCGCAACTGCGTTTCTCTGTGAATACAAAAGAAACAATATTTAAAGCCTATATTCTAGGTTTAATAAAGTAAAATAATATAATGAAAAAATTTAAATATCTTACATGTATTATGTTAAGTGACATAAATTAAACATCGTCGATCAGACGGCAAAGACAACATTACAAAAGAGTTTATATAAAATACTATATAGACAAGAGTTTGTATAGGAAAATATATTATGTTTTCCTTACATATATATAAATTATTGTAATTGGTTAAATTTGGTGTTTTTTCTCTTCTCTTCCTGTAAACAAAACTCTCTATAACGAAGAAAAATGAAATTCGTTATAAAGAGTTTACACTTTAGTTTTCGAGGGCCAAACATCATCTAGAACCAGTTTAGTCGAATTTCAAACACGTTAAAAATTAAATCGAAATACATATATCGATTTATTATAATTCGAATACGATTTAAGAATACGTAATTTGGTTGACTCTTTGTTGTGTGTATTTAAAAATAATTATTCGAATATTTAAAAAAAAATACATGGGCATAGCACACAACCTATAAAATCCTATAAATTACAATCACGTGTAATAAACATGCACCATTTACAACGGAATAATTGAAATCTAGTTACCCACAAAACGGGCTCCCTAGTGTGGGGACTAGCGTTAGCTCAATTTAGTAACAACGTTATTTCTACCATGCATAAAGTTTAATTATTATTTAGTTGTCATTTACTATTCTTGATTTCCGTCATGTTTATGCATCACTAAAAACACCTGCGATATAGTAATTTCCGTGGTCAGTACAAATTACAATCAGTGTAAGAAATCATTATGTAAGAATGGCGCTAGAATTCAAAAATCATCGCGCACGCGCCAAAACAGACGCTCCACAGGTCCACACACAAATATATCATTTAAACACCCATACCACAGATATCGTAAACAACTGTTCACTAGCATCAATAAAATAATTAAAAAGTAGAAAATCTTAAATTTTTGATGACACCTACTTTTTATGACACATCTTGGATAAGTTTTGGACGTACTATCCAAAAAAATATAGTTAAATGATATGAGAGTACTATATTAACGTATTGAGTTACATAATTAATATAAAAATCAAAATATTACTTACAACTATTAACGATTAGAACAAAATGTTCTATGTTTTTTTACAATATTTACTAATTTAACATAATATTATGTGTTTTCTATAATATATGCCTACCTCTCTGTAATACACGTATTTATAAATTACGGTCGCCAACATGGGTCATGGAACTCATGGATGGTCTATCTCGAGCAGTGACAGTGAGTACATTTTTGTAGCTTCGCTGGCTGCTAAAAAATAACGTATTACCTATATCTTGACATTAAATTCATAAATTTATTCATTTATAATTATATAAATGTATATATTTATTATTATATCTCATTTAAAACATTTGACCCAAATTTGGAAAATGCCAGTAAAACTGTACTCTACGCTGATCTATGGTTTTCAAAAAAGTATTGCGCACATCACTAGTCGTAGAAGCCACCGCCATTTTAATCCAATGTTGTTTCCGCCATTGCAAATGCAAAAGTGCGGTTTATTATTTAATAACGCGAAATTCGTGTATTATGCTGTGTAGTTTAGTTTAGGATCAATAATTTATAAAGATGGAAGAGGAGTATAATATGGACACACAGGACTCGGTCGCGAGTGACACTAATAGAAACGATGGAAATGATAGTGATACTGTGAAAAGTGATTATGAGTTTGGTTATGATGAATCTTACGAAGATGAAGATGGGGGATTTCGTGGAGGTCCTCGTGGTCGCGGCAATTTCAGGTAGTTTTTTAAACTTCAACCCTCTACACGGTATATAATAAATACCATAATGAAATTATATACAAAATGTCAATGCTCTCCATAGCCTTGAGAACATGAACAAACATTTTAGGCGTCTGTGTGTATATAAATTATTAAATCAATACGAGGAAGGACAATTTTGCCGACTATTTCCGTCCAGCATAGAATTATATATACATGTATATACTTTAAAATTATATGGCTAAGTCGCACTTACAGCATTGGAATGAAATTTACTGCATGGAACTAATCTAGTATCAATATTTATATTATATTCCCATTTAAATTTAGTAAAAAAATCCTTAAACATACATTGCAAATCTTTTGTTTTTACATTGGCTACTACTCTTCATTGTTCTCAATAACTTATTAATAATTATGACCCCATTTCAGTAGTAGCATAATAATTATTAAGTTTTTAATAAATTTCTATGGTAATCTGCTTCCTTTTATTACCTAACATTGAATTTAGGGATCCACAAAACAAATGTATTGTTGTGATTTAAATTGTATTTTATTTTCATTACACTTTCAAATTAGAAGTAGGATGTTTCCAGTAGCATTTTGTAAAGCTTTTCTGGGTTCAATACTTAATTGCACTCAAGATGCCATTGATAGATTTTTCTAAACAAAAAATGTTGAATTTCCAAAATTACAAAACATTTCTGTAAAGACCATGGGCATACAATTCTTATAGCATCAATAATACTCAAAAATAGTTTAATAATTGCAAGGCTACTGACATACAGCATAGTGACTGCACACAGAATTCAATATAATGATACTGCTTTGGCACTGCGAATTGAAACTTTTCCATTGTATCTGTGTATGGTGTCTAGTCAAAAATGATGTGCAGAAAATGGTGAGATTCAATTTTGTCACATAAAATAAAATAAAATAGCCTTTATTACTGTAAGTTTTAAAGTTAGTATATATAAATTAAAATTATAAAATATCCCTAATTACAGTTTGCCTTTCGGCAAAGGCCTCCTCCAATTCTTTCCACTGTGTTCTGTCCAAGGCGACTCTTTTGTCACATAAACCTGAATATTATTCCATTTGCCTTATATAAAAAAAAAATTTTTTCTTTCCATATGGCATATAACAACTACTCTGTAACCCTTAAAGCGGGCCATAGACAGACCGCATGTTGCAGTCAAGACCGACTGCAACATACAATTTGCTCAGGAACTGCTCGAGCGGTCCGTGTATTGCAAATATGAATTTAGTATGGAAGCTGCAGATCGCCGTGCGGCGACTGCATGTTGCAGTCAAGACCGTCTATGGCCCGCTTTAGAGTTGCTATATAACATTGTATAGATTTTTCTTACATCTACAATGAATTTATTTGTTTGTCTTTTAAATTTTTAAGCCAATAAGGTCCAGATCATCAGCAAACTATTTATTACAGAGGCCGTGGTGGTCGCGGCATGCCACCACCGGGCTGGATGAATGGACCTCCTCCCATGCGCTTTAGGGGTAGGGGTTATGGACCTGGTGGGCCTCCAATGAGAGGCCGTGGATTTTTCCGTGGCCGTGGTGGTCCTAGATTTGGTCCTAATGGAGGGCCTAATTTTGATAATAACTGGGGGCCTATGGGTCCACCACCACCTGGTATGATGGGACCACCTCCATTTGGCCCACCCCCACCTGGAATGATGCCACCAGGTGGGCCAATGGGTCCTCCACCTAATATGATGGGACAACCACCACCTTTTGGACCTCCAGGAATGCCACCCCCAAATATGGTGAGCTAGTTTAAATTTGTTTACTATACATAAATTAACTAATGTTTATGAAGTTACACTTTTCTTTATATCTGTTAATTTTTCATGTGTTTTTAAGTAATGATTGTTTTTTTATTCTCAAGATTAATTCTATTATTTAACATTATATCATACAAAAAGACTATGTTAACTTATTGGCCCCATCAAAATTGGATAATGCTTGAAAACCCATTTACTCTTTAGGTTAATCATCTCATGAAATTGAATTGTAATTTTTCATAGCCTCCACCAGAAATATGGGTAGAAACTAAGTCCGATGAGGGCAAATCATATTACTATCACCAACGCACTAGAGAAACAACTTGGACAAGGCCACAAGAGAGTCCGACTTGCAAGGTCATAACACAGGCTGAAATGGAAGCTATGGTCTCAGCAGGTGAGTGTTTAATCAATCAATAGTTAATTATTTTTTAATATAAATGTTGTGCCTTTCTGTTGATGTGGGTCATTCAATATGTGTAATCTAGAAGGTGCAATTAAAAACATAGTTTATGAATGCAGTACATGGAGCTTATCTTAACGAAACAGATTTATTTATTTCTGCTATTTATGAAACTGTGTATCATTCCTGTTTTACATACACCATATTATTATGTTAATGAATATTTACATGAATGAAGCGCATCATGTATTCATTAACATAACAATATGGTGTAATATACATTCAATAGCTATAGCTTTAAATGTTATTTAAATTTGAAATTAGTCTAATATGACAGTAGTTTACTAAGAAAATCTAATTGAAAGAATGAAATTCATAGTAAAATAACATAACACAAAACTAAAATATATACAGGATGGCCAAGTCGTGGATCAAACGCAAATAGGGGATAGATGAGGTCATCAGCTGCAAAAAATAAAGAGTTATAATTTATTTTGTGTTTTATAATAAAATTGACTTTTTTTTTACAAATTCTTATTAAAATTCGAAAAAAATACATCCTGTATCTTTTTCATAATATCCACCATAACAGCCTGTATACTGAGACCATTTTTTAAAACATATTTTAGGCCAAATGCCAGGCATGAACCCACAAACCATGGGCATGAATAACCCAATGGGAGGACCAATGGGTGGACCTATGGGAATGATGCCCAATGGCATGATGGGAGGCATGATGCCCCCTGGAATGGGGCCCCAAGGAGGTGGTTCCACACCCAATTCTGCCCCACCCTATATGACTCATCCACCACCATGGGCAAAAGATGGTAAGTTTCGTGCCAGGGGCCTTAGTCAAGATGCCTTAACAGTAGTGTATGTAGAAATTCGAAAACTAAATTTGTATGGAAATGACAGTTCAAGTCGAAAAGTTTTCATACAAATTTAGTTTTTGACTTTCTACCTTTGACTTTGCCTTTTTACCGTTAAGGCATCTTGATTAAGGCCCCTGTTTATTCTTTTTGTTTTTTTAAACTAGGTACTTAATATTGATTATACCCAAGAAAGAATTTAAAATGTTGTCTTTATTAATAATATCACAAACCTTTAATAATATACAGCTATGTAAGTTTGTTTGTCATCATATAAGTGAAGTTTCCTATTATTTTGTAATTAATTTACCAGAGGTCTAAAAATATGTTCATTGATTTATGTAAAATTTTTGTGAACATTTTGTGTCATTTAATTATATTTTACACTCTTTACATAAATAAAAAATTAACAAATGTTGCCTCTGAAAGTGTAATGGAAATTTTACTTGCTGTGTGATGCTCATACTTTAACTTGCCTATGAACATAATAATAATAATTTGGTGGTGCTGTAATGGTGGGTGATCAGCCTTCAGTGCCTGACACATAGATGTCTTACACAGATCTGTTTTCTACTTTTTATGGTGTTGTGCATATATAAAGAATAATTTATATACACTGCCATAATTTGAATCGCAGGGCAGGACCTTTGTGCTGATAGACATTAGCTTCTAGTCCAACACTGCTCTGCTACAAATGTAACTGTTCTTATAATGAACTTAAAACCTGAATCCTAATGAAATATTTTATAACTACAGTCAAAATCTGTTATAACTACATCGAAGGTACTACTAATATTTGGTTGTAAAAACCAATAGTTGTTGATTACGTTGTTATTTAGTACTTAATACAATAGAATTCATCCGGGACATTTGATTGTGATCAATATAACCGGTATGTTGTTCTAAACGATGTCGTCGTAAACGGTTTAAAAAAATAAATCGGTGGCACTGCAACCTTTTTAGGTCAAGGAAGGACGATCACCTACTTGTCAATAAAATAGGCAAGTAGGTGATCATCCTTCTGTGCCTGACACACGCCGTCGACTTTTTGGGTCTATGGCAAGTCTATTTCCTCACTATGCTTTACTGCAACGTTCGAGCGAATGTTAAATGCGCACTTAGAAAGTCCGTTGGTACACAGCCGGGGATCGAACCTATGACCTTAGGGATGTCCAACATTGCTGTTTTATAACTATTACTAAACATTATTCAAGGTAACAACCAAATGAAGATGGATCAGTCTGACCAGTCAACGATGGATATGGACGAACTACCACCTGGTGAATCCCTTCAAAATAACCAGATGCCCAATGGTAAAGATTTTAAATTTTAATTTTAACAGTATTTTAAACACAATTTCACAGAAACATACAAAATAACAATAATAATGAAAAAGAAAAGAATGAGAGATAAATTTTTTTAAAGAACAAGGTATATTTTAAGTGCATGTATTAATAAAAGTTAGTGATAACTAACTAATAATAATTAGCAGTGTAAATGAAGTCATGTGTAAAAGTATATAGTGAATAAAATTAAACTTAATAATACTTAATAAACTTTATTAATAATTAATAATAAACTTGACAATAAGCATAAAGCTATGTATTATACTGAGAGACTGGTACTTGAAAAAGGTTGGGAAAACCTGTTATTACAAGTCACCAGTCCCCAGTTAAAAATAATTGTTAAGAAATAGATAAATAAATATTTTTGAACGGATTAAAAACTAGATTTTGTGCGATTTTTGTTGAGTAAATTGATGGTTTTTCTAACTGCAATGAAAAGTTGAATTTATATTATTGATTTGAATTAGATAATGAATTTTTTGTTATTTATCCTACTAAAGCAATTGCAACATATTAAATTTTAAATTCTTGTTTATGCAAGTTATTCATGCTTTACAGCCATAGCTCCAGTGACCACATCCTCCAGTGGGCCTTCAATGGGAGCGAATATGGGGTCAGGCCCGCCTATGGGCGGACCCAATATGGGTCCTCCACCTAATATGGGACCTGGTGGTGGGACATGGAACCCTTGGGGATGGGGTCCACCGCCAATGGTGGCACAACCGGGCTTCCCGGGTCCTGATAATAATGGTAATATTATTTGAAGACCAATTTATTATAGTTTATTTGGTCGTATGAAGAATGGCTGGACACAAAATGTACAAAGACTACAGAACAAGTCCAAAATAACATATTGAAATCATAGACACACGCCGCGAAGTTCTAACATCCCTCTTTGTATTGGGGTAAAATAAATATGTTAATAATAATAATAGCCTGTATTGCAAAATACTTAGTAGTACATATGACTTAGGGTATTTCAAGAAGAGAGTGTACCAATTTTTATATACGCCGGCAACGCACTCGAGAGCCCTTTGGCATTGAGAGTGTCCATGGGCGGCGGTATCACTTAAGATCAGATGAGCCTCCTGCCCGTTTACCACCTGTTCTATAAAAATAAATGTGAAGTACTAATAATTTTCCGAGGAGCGAGGGAAAAAGGAAGATGTGTTAGGAATTTAATTGTCATTAAAATATTAAGTGTTGAAAATTAATACAATTTATAAATTTAATTCTTCGATAATAAAAACACATGGCATTTTCGATTCGTCATTTGAGATTTCAATAAATTATTTTGCATAAAATATAAAATACTAATATTTCATAAATTCTCTTTACGACATTTTAATTTTAAAAATATAATTTCTATAAGGTAATTCGCCCTTCTCACTCTCTCAATAGCTCTCTCTCTTTTCTTCGACAAAAACGCTGCACATCTTCGTGACGTTCCGTAAAAATTTACCCTCATGCGCCTAAAGAAGCTTCACTTCAAAAACATATTGAATAACTTCCTTCATTGGTATTTTTTAAAGTTTAATAAATGTTTCCAGGACAAGCCCCAATGGGAGCTAACCAAATGAGTAATTCAATGTCCGGAGACAATGAATCACCAATAATACTGGATGGGTCCACTCCACCTCCCAAGAAAGACACTACTGTAAGTATTGTATGAGGTGATGAGTACATTCCAGCGTAGAACAGTCCAAGTTTCATCTAAACCGGTTCAGTAGTTTGTTAGTAATTCATCTGATTCTGGAGGAGTATATTTACTTAAATACCTACTTGTAGGTATAGTATGTGTTTAGGTTGTTTTTATGTTAAATATTTTCATTATTATTTTTTGTACTATAAAACTACATAACCCGAATGTCAAGGGAAATGCATAAAATCGAGTTAACGAGTTTTCGACTTAACAAGAACTTCGAGATATATATATATATTAAACTGCTGAAAATTTATATGTGTATTTTTCTATTTGTCGAGTCAACTGTGGAGTAAACTGTACACAATTTTTTTTTTAATTTTTTACAAATATTCTTTCGGGGAATTCCAAGAAAGACGTCATTATATTTTACTAACTACGACTTACGAAGTCTTCTTTTTGAAATTCGAGTTACAGAGTATAAATATGTATTATCAATACTTTGTCGGGAAATAACATTTTGTTTGAGTTACTAAGTGTAAATAATTTGAGATAACCGCGTATTTAGGGGTTCAGCGGAAGGGAATAGCAATTTTTTCGACTTAATGAGGTTCGAGTTATCGAGATTCCACTATATTACAATTTTCTTTTAAAAAAGTTGCGACGTTCGAGTTATCGAGATTCCTCCACTATATACAAATTTTCTTTTTCTTTTAAAAAAGTTGCGAGATTCGAGTTTTCGAGATTCCACTATATAACAATTTTCTTTAAAAAAAGTTGCCTGAAAGTAATTATGTGTAAATATCTTCCAGGTAATACCTCCGGAATTGGAAGCAGCTGCCGCGGAATGGACGTCCCACGTGGCTCCAGATGGCAGAATGTATTACCACCACGCCGGCAGAGCTCATAGTGTTTGGATCAAGCCGGAGCCCTTGCAGAGGCTAGACGGTGAGTTTTTGGTCTCATACAGGATGTAATAACTTGAGAAAAAACTTAATTAAATAGGCGTTTCTGAAGTTATATTATATCCTGGATATTTGTTTTTTGAACTTTGCTAAGCTCTTCATTGGAAGAGCAAAGCTTCATTTTCAACAATTTACTATAGTTATATAATATATATATTTATTTATTTTCACATAAATTTTGAGGTTATGTAAAAAAAGTGTAAATACAAAAGTTTAAGATCTTTTTATTATCTATATCTTTGCCATTTGACTTTTTTCAATAGGACTTTTAGTTTTTCCGGAAATCGAGATAAACCGTTTTTACTCTTAAAAACTTACCCCCTTGCCCTTCCCGACCTCAGATCGCCCGTAAATTATTTTTATAATATTCTCCTCCTATTCCAATGGTTTTCATCTTATTTTTTTTGGTTTCAAAAATCTACCCTAGTCTAATTGTATTTATTTGCATTATAATTTTTGAGAGTATAGTATAGTTATAGTAAGCCGGACTTTTAAATGATTTTAAACCTTGTTTATTACAGAATTAAAGGCGAAAATTGCAGTCGAAAAGGGGGAAAGATTGGATAACCTAAAGAACCAATCATTTTGGATGGTGGTGAGTGGTCTTTATACTTTTTAAAACATCTACTCTGGGAAATATTATTATTAAATATTACAATAGTAACAATACTAATTAGTTATTAATTTGTATATTTTATTTAATAATAATTGAGTCTCATTTATTCCTTGAAACATCCATCTTTTATTTATTTATACATTCTAAATATGTGTATGCCTTAAAATACAAGAAAATATGACATCACAAATTTAACACGCATCAATTACATTAGAACATAAGAAATCTATCAAAGGAAAGAATTGATCAAATATAATATAACAAAACACAAAAATAATAATTATAATAACTAAAAATTCATAATAATAACTAAAACTAAAAATATAAATAACAATAACAGAAATAAACAAAACTAAATGAAAACTTTAACCACATTAAGAGCCTGCAAAACAAAGTTACGGTAAGTTGGTTGACTGTAATATTTTCCATTTACAAAAGATACACTCAACATTTTATGCAGAAATATTTTTTTTCCAAGGTCTCTTTCAGAGTATAGGCCTCCTCCAACTGGCTCCATCTATCTCTATCTTGATCATTTTTCTCCCAATCTTCCCCACCATCTTCTAAAAGCTCGTCAGCTCACTGTGCAAGAGGGGGACATCGCGTTTATTTCCCTGGTGGGTCTTTCCACCTTTAGTTCTCATGAACTCACTTTTTGTCTTTGACTTTGGGGTTGTTCAAGTATTACATAAGTAAATTTACTGTAAGTCCTTCAAGAAAGAGCATTCAATAAACCCTCTGGTAGTGTTTGTCCATGCGCGAGTGTATCACTCGTGTGAGTGTATTTAAAGCCGGCAACGCACTCGCGAGCCCTCTGGCATTGAGAGTGTGAATGAGCAGTGGTATCACTTACCATCAGGTGAGCCTCCTGCCCATTTGCCCCCTGTTCTATAATAAAACTTGATCACTGACACAGTCATGTTTCTTGTAATAAAGAATATTTGACCATTCCATTTTACGGGTACCCCATGTATTATCAATAATAATAACAGTTATAGATGTTGACGAACACGCGGACGCGGTGGCAGCGGCTGAAGCGACCGTCGTAGAGGAGAAGGAGAGAACAGAACGCGAGCGGATAGACCGGGAAAAAGCGGAGAAGGAGAGGGAAGAGAGGGAGAAGGCGGAAAAGGAGAAGGTGGAGAAGGAAAAGGCGAAACCGGATAAGACTAGGCCGGTTACTAGCACGCCTATCACGGGGACGCCGTGGTAAGTTTCAAAGTTAAATCATTTATTTGAAATAGACCACCTATTAACCACTGATGGCTGGCCATGCGTCATGCTCGTGAACGGGTGCTGCTTGTGGTGACTGGTCGTACTTGAATTCGTGTATGCGATGAAGTTAGTTATTTCGACTATGAGTTTGCGTGTTGTTCCCACGAGTGTAAGTGCGTGCTCCTATTTCACTATGCCTCCTGCTGATAGAGGACAAGTCTTTGTTTTTAATTTATTTTATTATTATTTATTAGTTAAGATGTCATGTGGAACATGGTGTAATGGTTGCAGCTCCTTACAAATAAACTAGGCGATTAAAAAGAGTGGCGGAGAGTTTATTGCCAGTTCTTCTCTTCCGTTCTACGCCCTTGATTTGAGAACTGGCAGTAAATGTAAAATTAGAAGCATTAATATGTATTTCTTTACTGACAAGTCATAAGTGTACATTATGTTACCTATGTGATGAAATGATTGACCTCCCCCCATGTAACGTGACCACCACGTGACCGTTTCGTGACCATCAAGTGACTCTTTATACCTAAAAATTACCATTATGTGGTGTAAAGTCGAAAATAATATTAACAATAGCGTGTATTTTTTCTCGATCTTCCTTTCTCTCTCTCAATCTTTCTCACTATAGCTCTCACTCCATGGCACTGTGCGTGATGCCACTTTCGCTTCTCGTGATTCCACTATCTCACTCTCTCTCGATCGGTCGCAATCGCTCTCTCCCTTCGACAAAAACGCTGCACATGTTTGTGACGTTCCGTAAAAGTTTTACCCTCATGCGCCTACAAAAGTTTAACCACTTCAAAAAGTTTTTTGTTTTCTTGTTTTGTTTATATGTAATATTATGTTCTTAGTTAAAAAAATTCTATTAATTATTAAGTTACTGTAAGAATAGAAAATAAATAAATATTTGACAGCGCTCAAGCCGAGATTGAGGCTCGGCAAATGAATTGGTTCTTCAAACTGATCACTAAATCTAATATATAAAATTCTCGTGTCGCGGTGTTTGTAGTTAAACTCCTCCGAAACGGCTTGACCGATTCTCATGAAATTTTGTGTGCTTATTAGGTATGTCTGAGAATCGGACAGCATCTATTTTTCATCCCCCTAAATGTTAAGGGTAGTCCACCCCTAAATTATTATTTTTTTAATTTTTAGATGAATTATTTATTTTTTTATGATACAGCATTAAAAAATACATACAACCCCTAATTTTCACCCCTCTACGATCAACCCCTATTTTTTATAATAAATTATATACATGGAAAAAGACGTTTGCCGGATCAGCTAGTAATATGTAAATCAATTTTACAGGTGCGTTGTATGGACTGGCGATGGTCGCGTTTTCTTCTACAATCCAACGGCCCGTCTCTCTGTATGGGAACGCCCAGCTCAACTGCTTGGGAGGAAGGATGTTGATGCTGCAGTGGCCCAGCCTCCGCATCTTGTACAACAGGTTCGATGATATTCAATTCTCTAGTCTGTTATCATTATTTAAAAAAAACTTTTCTTGTAACGAATTGGAACGTAAATAGAATTTCTGCCGAATATGATGATTTATTTTCTCAATTTGACATTTTTATTATAACAAAGGCATACAAAACTCACCCCTGTAACGCGGTTTTCCCCCCCATAACGCATATATTTCTCTAGATATATTTCTGTAGTGTGAAATAGTGAGTAGTGTGATAATGAAAGAGACTAAGACCCCCGAGTTTGTTTCGACATTTCTTCTCAGGGCAGTCAGTTAGGAAATGTCGACTTCATCTAGTTTAGGATGACATTGTAAAAGTGATTTATATAGTCCTACTTGCAAGAAAAAAAAAATGATTTGTCAAGTCCATAACCTTTGCTGCTTCTATTAAAACAACATGTTTTAAAATTAAATGAGATAACTTTATTAAATTCGAGTTTTTGACAAAAATGGTTATACTAGAATACTCATACAAAGCGATTTACTGTATTAAAGAGACACATACCTTTTCACAAACACTATCACATACGCACAAATACACCAATGATTTTAAGTATTTATTTATTTTATTATATTTTGCTAGGGTAGTTTGGCAATTTGAAAAAATTCTTTGTTAATACATTTTGTTTTATAAGTTTTGTAAAAGCTGTTGGTTACCTTGAAAACAAAAAAGCATAAAAAATCTCTTGTATTTAGATGCCGCGTGTGCATTGCAATTGATAATTTATCAAATCACAGTTTTGATATTTGGCCTTAAGAGTGCTATATAATATATATAATAGTATCAATCGCTTGTACTGGGAATAAATAAGGCGCAACTGCGTTTCTCTGTGAATACAAAAGAAACAACATTTAAAGCCTATGTTCTAGGTTTAATAAAGTAAAATAATATAATGAAAAATTTTAAATATCTTACATATATTATGTCAAGTGACATAAATTAAACATCGTCGATCAGACGGCAAAGACAACATTACAAGAACATTAAGATAACAAAAGAGTTTATATAAAATACAATATAGACAAGAGTTTGTATAGGAAAATATATTATGTTTTCCTAGTTCCTAGTTTTAAAGAATCTAATCTAAGAAATATAAGTATTTTTTAGATTAATAATTTATATTAATTTTAGATTAATTATAATATATCTATTATGTGTTAACTGACGATTTGTTGCATTTGTTTTGTTAGTCTGTGGAAATGATGCCAATTTTGTCTTGTCATGTAAATTTTTGTTCGAAGTTTTTTTGTTGGAACATTTTGGATTTTAAAGGAAATGTTTGTAACCTCTGAAACAACAAAGATGAATATTGTTAATAAATAATTACCGATATAAATATTTCGCGAGGCGCGTGAAACACCATTTGTGAAGTAGTTTATTGTAATTAATATCTGTGTAATGTATCATGTTTTTTTTGTAAATTTTTTTAGAGATAGATTAATTCCCTGGACTCTGGACTCTACTCCCTTCCACTGTAAGGGAGTAGAGTATTATTTAAAAAAAACTCTAAAACACCTTCATCGATATTTATGATTTCTTTTATGTATATTCAGTTGTAAACTAATTTTTACACCCCTAAATGATAAGGGTGATATTTTTTAGTTTTTGGACATTGATATACAAAAAACCCAAGATGCACAGTCTCGAATAAAAGTAACGCTCGAAAGTGTCCCGAAACACTATTTCTGTCTCAAATTGGCTACCTCCTGACCTACACTTTATATAGCGTAAATATATTTGTCAAAAACTACACATAAAATAGTTCAAAAGTACATAAATTTATTTATAAAAAAACACAAATAAATAACATCGACTCCACTTATTAGAACAGGGTCATTCTTATAATGCTACTAAAATAAAAAGAAGACTGTAATGCGTTGTTCTAACACTGAACAAGCAGCCATTTGACAGTTGGCCGTATAGAAGTTTGTGTGTTGAATGAAGTTTTTAGAAAAAATAAATAAAAATCACACATTGCTTGTTATAATCAGTCATAAAAACAACAAAAACTAATCAATAAAGTTTTTAATTACCGAAAATACGAATCCCATCCTTTTTTAGCCTTCTTGACGTTATATTTTTACAATTTCTCACAGAACATTTTGACATTTTTGACAACTGCTCCCAGACGCGAGCGACGCGAGACTATTTGAAATGAGCGCACAATTTAGAATGTTGCGCTCATTTTTTGAGGACGTTTTTTAGACGTTGAGTGTGCATCTTGGGTTTTTTGTATATCAATGTTTTTGGACAATTTTTTTTAAACGATTTGGCATTGGGAACCCTTAACTTTGACCCTTCTACCCCCATTTATAGCAACCCCCATTTATAGCACCCCCATTTCTAGCACCCCCATTAGCTCATTTGTATGTATGTCTTTAGCAACAACAACAGCAACAACAGAAGAAGGAAACGACTCCCTCGAAAGGTTCTAACGGCGATCTCAAACGTGGAATCGACTCGGATAGCGACTCTGAGAGCGACGGTGCGAAACGGGCCAAGCAAGTCGAGGGTGAGTTGTTGGCTTATTAAATACACAATGAAAGTAGTCGGGGGAAGTAAGTCCTAGACTGGTAGGTGGCCGGTTTTTGCGGCCAAAACTGAAAATTTTACCAACACATAATTGAGCATTTGCCATTCACGTGTGGATATGTCAAAAAATACTAAACCGATTTCTATGATACTTGTTCCCAAGATGGAATTTAAATTAATTAATTAAAACTCAGATCAATCACAATTATATATATAATGGTATCGATCGCTTATACGAGTACTGGGAAAAAAAAATAAAATAAAAATAAAATAAAATATAAAAGAGTTTGTATAGGAAAATATTAAATATTATGTTTTCCTTACATCTCCCCCCCTACAGAGAGTAACAATTACATGTAACTGTTACTCATCGACAATTACAGGGGATAATTAATTCTTTTCCCATAAGCCAGTGCTGCCAATATTTCACAGCTTCTTTTAATGCTAAACATTCTAGATAAATCGCCTTTTTTTTAACTTTGTTTAATTTTTTTGAAAAATAAGCAACCGGTCTATTGTCCCCGTTTTTATCTTCTTGTCTTAATACTTCAGAATATAGAAGAAAGTCTTCTTTATTTATGTCACCTAGTACATCAGGAATTTGACATTTTTTTAGAAGTTTTCATTTTTAATACCTCAGAATATAAAAGAAAGTCTTCTTTATTTATGTCACCTAGTACATCAGGAATTTGACATTTGTTTTCTTTGAAGTATCGTTTCTTTTTTCTTTTAGGTAAAAATCATTAAACTGTATGTTCTGCTCCTCATCTAAAGATATATTTGATAACTCTTCTGTAATGGTTATCCTTACTTTTCTAGTTTGATATCTTTTATTTAAAGATTTTTTTACTTTAATGTAGTTGGGAGTTTTTATGACAGCTTGGTGTAAATTTGCAGGCTGAAACTCGGCCGGAATTGAAAAAACCTGTCCACCAGTTGTAGCGATCGTGTCTATGCAAATATTAATCAATAAATAATTATTTTTTTTATTTCTCAATCTTTTCATATTTCGTAAAATATGTGCATTAAATGTTGTTTTATAATGGTATCGATCGCTTATACGAGTACTGGGAATAAATAAGGCGCAACTGCGTTTCTCTGTGAATACAAAAGATTTATTTAAAAAAGAAATATCTATAAATTTACATTTAATAAAAAATATATATTTACAAATTATTCACTCACCTGTGAATACAAAAGAAACAACATTTAAAGCCTATATTCTAGGTTTTATAAAATAAAATAATATAAAGAAAAAATTAAAACATCTTACATCTATTATGTCAAGTGACAAATAAAACATCGTCGATCAGACGGCAAAGAAGAAAAATAAAATATAAAAGAGTTTGTATAGGAAAATATTAAATATTATGTTTTCCTTACATATATACAAATGAAACAGTTAACCACCTTTTTTTGAAATTTGTTTAAAAGTACAAAATCCTGTAGTAGTAATATTGTGTTGTGGCAGTGGTGGGCGTGACGACGAAAAAGGCCATCGACGCGAACGCGGACGCAGCGGTGGAGGCGGAGATGATTGCGGCCAGGAAGCGGGTGGTTGTGCCGTTCGACCAGCGAGTGGCCTCCTTCCTGCAGCTGCTGCGGGAGTCGGACGTATCCGCCTTCAGCCCCTGGGAGAAGGAGCTGCACAAGATCGTCTTCGACGACCGCTACCTGCTGCTCGAGTCTAAGGAGAGGCGACAGGTGTGTGTCCATCTGTCTCTTTTCATCAGCGTAAACACTCGACAGAAAGACGACGACCAGTCACTTTCCGTGCGGCTTGATCCCTTGGCGTTGCGTAGAGATGTAGTGACCCCAAACTATGCATCTTCTACCGCATTTACCATGGAGAGTGTTCAGAGGAGTTGTTCGGATTAATATCTGCAGCTGAGTTTCATCAATGCAGTTATAACCACGCACCACTATGTGGAACCAGCTGCCCACTGAAGTATTTCTGAACCAATTCGACCTTCAAGAAAAGAGCGTATCAATTCTGAAAGGCCGGCCACGCACTCGCAAGCCTTCTGGCAGTGTGAGTGTCCTTGGGCGGCGGTATCACTTAACATTAGGTGAGCCTCCTGCCCGTTTGCCTTCTATTACATAAAAAACAAAAAAAAAAGAAAGAGGCGAAAAGAGTCTTTCCGTATTTTGAACTGTGTTAAAAATATTTTTTTTAAAAATTAATTTGGAAAATACTTTCACTATTAGAATTCTAGATTATCCCTGATGAACATAGGCTGTAGAATATTTAAAAAATTAGGAAACCATATACAAAAAAAAAGTTTTTGGGCAAATTAAATGAAAATAAATAAATTTAGTATAGAAAATAAATCGTTTAAATCCTACAACGGTTTTCTTTCCTCACAGGCCCCATGTTATAAAGAACTATTAAAATAATTAATATTTATAACAATAAACAACTACAGTTGATAATAGACAATTTCACAGATGAACACTTCATAATTAACGCAAAAAAATAGTGCCAAAAAGCAACCAGATTCTTTTGCGTAGAGGGTCTGAGCTCTGCATAACTCGCAACTGAGTATTATGTTTTAATCCGATATAATATTTTTTTGTTACTGTAATTTTTGCAGGTGTTCAACAAGTACGTGCGCGATAGAGCCGAAGAAGAAAGAAAAGAGAAACGCAACAAACTGCTGCTGAAGAAGCAGTCTTTCAAACTTCTCATGGAAGAGGCCAAATTGCACTCAAAGTAAGTTAAAACGTCCTAAAACCTTCATTAGTTTATGATACTGTACTTTACAATTATCAGTTTGTTCTGTATGTATGTGAAATTGTTGGTATTACATTTTTGTGTATGTCTATGAGATATGTATGTCGTTCAAGTATTACGTAACGAATTTGGGGAGGGGGGGTTACTTTTGTAAAACGTTACGATGCGGGGCGGGGATTGAATTACGAGTTATTGTTAATATTATTTTTGATTTTTCAGTACTTTACATCACATAATGGTGACTTAGGTATAAAGAATCACTGGGTGATCACGAAACGTTTTACTGTTGGGTACAGAAAAACGTTACGGCGCGTTACATGGGGGGGTTTCCAATAATCTCCAAATATTGCGAAAAGTAATAATTCAACGCTCCCTATCTGAATTTCTAAACACGTGTCCTAAAGTTTTTAATGATTAGAACTTTTCGGAAATTGTAATTTATTTTAATAAGGTATTTTCCAAATTAGGTTTCATCAAAATCGATTCAGTAGTTTTTGAGATATGATACCACATACTCAAACTCAAAATATCTTTATTCACGTAGGTAAACAAGTACACTTATGAATTGTCAGAGAGAAGTTAAATTAATTGTAAATTTACATTTACTACCAGTTCGCAAGTCAAGGGCGTAGAGCGGGTAAAAAGAACTGGCTAGAAACTTTCCGCCACTCTTTTTAATCGCCAAGTTTTGTCATACAAGTTGTTTGAACTGGAGCAAATCAATCCCAAGGATTAAAATAATATAATTACATACATATATCTGGACATGTTTAATTTTTCATTAAAAATATGTGGAAACTTTTATTTATTTATTCGGCACTTAAGTATAATCATAATTTGCAGGTCATCATTCACCGAGTTCTCAACGAAGTACTGTCGGGATGTACGATTCCGCGGTATAGAGAAACTGCGCGAGCGTGAGACATACTTCAACGAGCACATTGCTGAACTGCGCAAGAAAGAGAAGGAAGAGAAAGAGAAACGCAGGGAACAGGTGAGTGAGCGGGATGGATGAATTGCGACCTGTCACTTGAAGTGCTGTTGAAGGCTTTAGAGAGATTTTTTAAGGAGCCAGTGTTTACTTAATTGTAATGTAGATGGCGCTGTGTGTATTTTAAAACGCGCTGACGTTTGAATGTGATTATAAAATTAATGCGACCATGTTTTCTCGTACGCTGCAGCCCCTGTACCACAGTGTATTAGCAGGGTGCGATCATTCATCATACAAATCACGAAGGGGGCATATGCCCCGAACGGGGCTTAATCCCCCTCCCCCTCTCGCGAGGGGAAAGTGTAACATTTATAATAGTAGATAAGAAATTGTGTCAAAATAATTTCATACCTATTATAGATTAGTTCCGAGTTTGATTTCCGTCGAAACAATACTTTTTCTGTACACAAGTTTGCAAGCTATAAAAGTATGTTTGCCCCATGCCCCAGTTGGAGGTTAGGATTTCAAACATAAATTGGATAAGATGCTAACAACGCACTCGCGAGCGGCGGGTGTTGTATGGGCGGCGGTATCACTGAACATCCGGTGAGACTCCTGCCCATTTGCCCCGTTTTTTAAAAAGAAAATAATATACAACTTCTTCATGGACCAAGGATATACCTACTGTAGATATTATACTGTCTTAACGAAAAAAAACGCCTCGTAGAAACTACGACTACTTTAAGGGTACAGAACCCGGGCATTTGGAACGTTTCTTAGTTCTAACACTCTCTGAAGTCTTCTTGATGAATTTTACTATTCTTCTATTGCTTTTCATACAAATTGCTACAACAGCGTAATACTTATAAATTTGTTTTAATTATTGGAATTTTCGCCTGAATTTTGCGAATTTCAATTGTGATCAATATTTTTTCAGATCTAAACATTTATTTTCAGGCATTTTTGGATACGTTCGAAAGATCGTGGGTTCGACTCCCGTGTAATTCAACTGTAGTGGGTTCGAATCCCACCTACAAGTCTGCTTTGCGAATGTTTCCTTTTATTCAATTGCTATTATTTAAATTTATGTATTATTATGAGATTTTTGAAATATTTTTAAGATTTTGCATTTTTACCGTCTATAATATAGTTTTTATACAATTTTTAGTTTTGTTTTTAAATTATGAAACTATATTGTAGACTTTTTTTGTCCTCTGTGGTTTGGAAAAACGTAATGAATTCCAGTAATTTCCAAATCGCTTTTAATATTTAATTTTCACTTGTAATGTCCTATTTATTATATACACGGTCGTGTTTCGTGATATTGCCCAACGAAATAATAATTAAGACGGCATCCTCACGATAACACAGTCGTAAGACGATAGTAGCAGTCGAGTTGGCACCTCGTGGTTGACTTGGCACCTAGGTCCAGTTGGCACCGAATCCAATACGAGCGACAATTCTTTTGTAGAGGGCGCGTGGCTGACTGCGGAAGGAGGACGCGCGGCGCGTGCCGGTGGTGGCCATTTGATGTTGATAGGGACGGTGGGCTATCTTGTCTATAGAGTTTGTGTTAGAGGGGCAAGATGATAGTTTGTGATAGTGGGGGAAAGTTGACTTCGATACTATTCAAGGTTCAAGTTACATACAAATGTCGTAGTGATGTTATCATTAGAGGTCGAGATAGGGGGCAATTCATTTATATTTATAGTATGAGATATCGTGGCGCGCTAACATTTATAGTTGTTACGGTGGCGATATTGCTAGACTTCGTAATAAAATAATAGTGAGTGATATTCTAAGTTGAACGTGACGTGAAAATTAATTACAATATAGATTGTAGTAGTGGCGCCACAAGAGGAACACTAGGTTTTTAATCAAGTTATAATTTTAGAGGGGCATTTAGCAATAATTGACGATAGATTTTGTGAGAAAGAAAATTGACGTGTATAAGTTTACCGTAGTGGGGTTAATTAAGGGTAGAGCTAAATAAAGCTAAAAAAATTAGTACATACGTATTTAATAATATCTTACGATTGATATTATTTAACTGTACTGAATTATGTCCAATAAATAAATAAGTAGCATAAAGAGAAAGTCTACATGGTTTTTGTTAAGGGGGCAATTTAATGCGTCTACGGAAGGGCATGTTTACCTTAGTGCGACATGTTTACTGTAGTGGGGCAAGTTTACCGTTGTGGGGCAAATTTACAGTAGTGTGGCAAGTATTTAAATCAATGAATTTTAAATTTGACGTCAAGTGGTCACCTCGGTTTGCACCAAACTTTTATAAGGTTAGAAATAGTTTTAAGCCCATAATTTATTATCGGAAAGCGACGCGTTTTCGTTGTTAAACAAAACCGAAGAGAACGGTGATGGGTGATATTAACATGTAGTTTAAATCGTTTCGTTTTCGAATAGTTTTAACTACTGAACCGATTGGAGTGTATTTTGAATTTTGTTTTATATCAAAGTTATTGTTTGTAAGGATGTTGTAAATTAAATGTAGAAACAGTTTTATGGATTTGTAACTTGGGTTCGATTCCCAGTGGATAAATTTAATCGAAATTTTGAGTTCATTTATGTTAATTTTTTTTTATATTTTTAATATAGCTGAGAAAATTTGTAGGTTTAGATTGGAAGTTGAGGTTTGGTTGTTTCTGGGGGATATAGTGTATGCAGATATAAAAAACAGGCACAAATTAATATCTGTTACGAATGTTATCCTCCCATAAAGTACAGACTTAACGTGTCTTTTTTTGTGGCCTTTTAAAAAAAAATTCTCTCGAATCGAACACAGTACCTATTAGGTGGATAAGGTACCATAATGGTGGATTAAATTGTCTATTAAAATGCATTAAATCATTTATAAAACTTTTGTAATTCTTGATAAATTAATTTTGTATGATTTTTAATTGGCAATTATAAAGAATTATTAAATTCTAAGTTAAATTGTGATCCATAAGGCTGTTTTAAGTTAGTAGGTAGTTTAAGATGTGCAAAAGTCAAGGCTTCAACTTTGTTCAATATATATAAAAAATACGTATATTTTAAGGAAACTGTCGGTTACTGATCAAAAACTACATGAATTTGGGTCAAATAACGCAGGCGAAATCGCTGGAACTAGCTAGTATTTAAAGTTTTGGTTAAAAAACCTGTTTTACTTTGTAATATTATTACTTTTAGTAATAATATTCTTACTATATCGATTTGGAAGGCATTTAAATGTTTAATATAGGTTTTGATGGACCTAAAATAAGGTGTACTCTATCTAAGGGTGCTGGGTTCGAAATCTGGCGAAGCAGAAGTTGTTTCTATATTGCCTTCTGTCTACACAATATGGACTAAGAAGATTAGCCAAGAGATTAATTGATGTCGAAATACTAAAGCTCATTTTAGTATATTTTTACGAAAATGTGTATTACCCTCAATTTTTACGAATTATGGTGCACCCTCATTTTTCAAGTGACATTTCAAAGGTTCTAATTTCGGGGAAATTGTGTTTCGTTTGGATGGCAATACATGTCTGAATTAAAAGGCCGTAAAGAAATGTTTCAATTTGATTATTTTAGAATAAATTAAATTTCAGTATAAATCTAAAATGATTTAAAGAATAACATAAACTCTCGTCTGTCAAAATTTGACACATTGGATTGAAAAGTGAAAAAGAGGGTAGACGTGTAAATTGTCTTTCATAATCTAAATGATGCCATACAAAATTGTCAGTCAGTCAACTGACGCAAGACAGTATGCACGTCTCGCTAAGCTTCTATAGTAATAAGTATTGTCCAATTGTCAACGAACAAAGAGTATGAATGAAGCCTTTACTCTTGTTTAACTAATGCAATTTTTCTTTCAGAAATTAATAAAATTTTCTTCCACAGGGCACTAAAATATATATCTTCTTTTCAGCTTCTAATCCAAGTTCTTTCAGGTTTATTATACAGTGTGTGGTTTATCGGTAGATGGCGCTATGCGATTTTATTTTCACCCCCCCCCCCATTCTAATTACTAGCTTATAGTAAACTACATTTTTTTTTTAAATTGGGCCTCAAACAAACATTTTCATTTACATTCTCATAAAAATTGTCTCAGATATGAAATATATTAGTTTTCTGTCAATACCGAGGTTTAATGATTCCAGTTATTTAGAAAGTAATGTACATAATAGTCAATTAAACGTTAAATATTTGATTAATAATTCCTTAAAACTCAACAATAATAGGCCGACAACGCACTCGCGAACCCTCTGGCATTAAGAGTGTGGTATCACTTAACATCAGATGAGCCTGCCCGTTTGCCCCTATGTTCTATAAAAAAAAACAAGTTAATCTCTATATTGTAGTAATAATACAGTGTTGACGTAAGCAAACAAATAATTCGTGCTTATTGTTATTATTTATTTATTCAACACACATCATACATAATACTATATCTACGGTATGTTACAAGCTATCTTATCATATATATATTGGTAAACATAAATAAATGTTACAAAAAAAAAAATTATTAGTAAACAGCGAGTATGAGATAGGCACTTAACAATGCTTTCTCTACAACCGATCAGACCACTACCGAATATGTCCAGCTCCGGTTAAGTACCTACATGTTTAATCCGTTATAATCGCGAAAACTTCGAATGAGAGGTGCCTGAACGTTTTATGCAGAATTTTCCAAATTCCAAGTAATTTTACCATATATATATATAGGTTACTGGTGGTCATATATTTGTTAACTCTAATGGTGAAATATTGAAATTGATTCAGTTTTTGAGTGTATGTTACAAAAATACCTTGACATATACAAGATAAAACAATTGAAAACCATCTTTTAGCTTTCCAGCGTTTTTGTTGTCACATTTTTAATTAGGCTCGCTGTTGTAACTCAAATAAAATTTTAAAAGTATATTTAAATGTATCTTAAACATAAAGAATGTCCAACAATTCTATGACCCAAGTTACCTTAAAAACACAAAAATCTAAAACAAACAAAATAGCTGACCAGAATTAATTAAATAAAAAAATATTTAATAAATAATAACAATAACAAATCGTTTATTTGCAAAGAAAGCATGATGTCAAATTAATTATCACGATGTCATAATAATAAACAGTTAAAAAATGCCTTTAAAAATGAAATTCCCCTTGCCCAATTTCCTTGAATATTAAATGTTCCCAATTCCAAGCTACAAAGATTTCCATCTACCAATGAACCAAACACAACCACTGAACGTAATATAGAGGAATGCCAGTGAATAATAGACCAACTCTCTCATTATAGGCCAAACAAGATTTCATACAGCTCCTCAAAGACAAAAATGTGGACCGTCACGCCCGTTGGGTCGAAGTGAAGAAGAAAATCGATGTGGACGTCCGGTATAAAGCGGTTGAAAGTAGCTCCTTGAGAGAGGATCACTTTAGGGAGTACTGCAAGATGATTAAGGACGAGAGGAAGAAGGATGGAAAAGAGAAAGGTGAGTCTTCTTTTCAGCATATAATATACTCGAAAAATTCATTATTTATATGCCATTGATATTAGGTATTATATTTTGCTATTATTCCTATAGGAGAAGGTGGTAGTGGTGACAATTATTTCAACCACCTAACTGCAAAAACTAACCATTTTTGTGCTATCATGTTTTGAAGTTATACTTCTTTTTGGCTCGTTAGGGAAAAATGATGAGACTAAATTTTTACGATGCGTTCGCACACCGTCACAAAAAACCGACACCCTGAATATCTGTTCAAACGTCGGTAAAACAGTCTGGGCCGTTTAATCCTAAAAAGTCATGTCTTAATACATCTTATAAAATATCTTAGGGCCGATTCGACCAAACAAGAGTAAATCTTAATCTTAGAATAAATCGTCAGTTAATCGAGAGTAAATCAATTTTACGTTTTACCAACTACAAATTCTAAGAATAGTGGGCTTATTCGGGAATAGCTACTATACCGCCGTTTCGCACGGAATAACAGCTATTCCTAGAATAATTTAATGGCGTCAGTCAGTCCAATCAGCTGATTTCTGTCATTTCACAAATATGTATTCTGTGTTTTAATTTCAAGTCAACGCAACGCACTAAATTAATAGTCTGGCATTGTATAATGAAACGTTTAAACAATTTATTATTTATATATTTATATTTAGATTTTTTATTTTCTATAATATTAGAATGAAATTCAACTAGGCTCAACAGAAGTTCCTTTTTAGACGAAAGCCTCAAACAAACAAGAAATAAAAACTTTTTGTTGTCGTTTGACACCTGTTAAAAGCTACTTTTTCACGGCAAAATCGAGTTGACATGATGTATGCTCTTACACTGTCCCGTTGTAGAACAACATTTATTTGCCGAGTTTTATTTTCGTTCACCATTCTCTTGCTATTCGCGTATTGTTATTTCTAGCGCAATTATACTATCGATTACGTGGACAAACGACTATGGATTTACTCGAGATTAAAATCATGGAATAGATTATTCTTGGTATAGTTACTCGTGTATAAATTGAAGTTTGGTCGAATCGACCCTTAGTCAGATAAAAGTTATCGTGGAATCAGCGGTTAGTATAAATATATTATTTCAGAACGCGAACGCGGCAGCCGAAAGGACAAGAAGGACAAAGATCGCGACAAGGAGAAGGAGAAAGAGAAGGAAAAGGACAAGGACTCCAAGAAAGAGAAGAAGAAGGATAAGGGAGAGGTGAGTGAATGTTTCTTATATATTTATTTATAAAAACACTCCTATAATATTATTTATGTTACCCAAACAGCTAATGGCCAATACGATAGTTGTATAATTTAATTTGATAAGATTATTAAAAACAAATTAAATGAAATTACTTTATTAAACATATTAAAGTCTAATAGCTATAGAGACAGTTGTTTTCTTTGAACTTGGTAAAAAATTGGTTTAAAAATCGTTTTTGCTACTTATAATTATTATTAAAGCGAAACTTAATTTGTTGTTTTTTGTTTTGTCTGAGGCATTTTTTTTTTTAATTTACTGACACTCAAGGCTGTGTGCCTTTTTTGCTGTCAAATCTGTGAAACAAAGCATTTGACGGATAAGATTTTGATTAACGTTTTGAAATTTGAAATAATAATAATAAATAATCTTTATTTCTATAAAACTGGTTGTTTAGCTCGTTGTTTTTGTTCAATTATGTTTAATTGCTTTGACGGTCAGTGCATACCTAAGTGGTTTCATTATTGGAATACCGGTTTAACAAACATACCCTATATATTATATATGTTCAACATAGATTGAATAAGGATATGATCCAGAAAGACTTTAAAATCAGACTTTCGTAAAATGTGTGGATTCTAAACACACAGAATAAAAAAACGTGTGCAATTCACACGTGTTAGAAGAGGAAACCTTCAAAAAGTTTGGTTTCAAGATAATCAGACGAATGTAATTTTAATATCAATTTTTTTACATACATATTTATCCTTATAGATAATTTATTTATTTATTTATTTTGATAAAAACTACAATGATTAAAAAGGGTTTTATAATTAATAATATGTAAATAAAATTCATAAATTTCATCTAATTTTTAATTAATTTAAATTAATCTCTTTTTTCTTTGCGCATCTATGTTTTGTTTCAATTCAGAATGATCAAATACACACAAATTTAAAGTTTATACACTGTATAATGCTTCCTATCTCATTTTCTCCCACGTTAAATCTTATGTGTCTGTCTCTTTTTACTGTCGCTTTTTTCGTTTCACTGACTTTCAAATCACAACGATGCTAAAGAAGTTTTCACTTCAAAAATATTAAAAACTTTACGGAAACAATATTATTTATTTGCCTA